ATTTAATGATTTCATGACAAGGTCAATTTCTCAGCTGTCACTTTCAGGCAGGATAATTCACTGGAGTGACATTTATTTGGCTATTAATTAACAATGCAATCTACACCGATATACATAAACCTTATAAGTAAATTTATGCTAATTTATTACAATCATATTAATTATGTAAATCATTTTTCAATAATTTTCATAAAATTGATTTGTAGCAGGTGTTAATTTTTTATTAAAAAATTGCTATTATGAAGATATAACCTAGTTTCACCCTAAAGAAATACTTATATTCTCAAGATTATTGTGTTGAGCTTGAACAGACTCTGCACGTGCCTCTGTTTACTTTCAATTTGTCTAACGAGGATGGGAAGTGTGGAAATAAGACGATTTGCTCAGCTGTTGTATGGTCTAATCAGCATTTCTCAGCTGCCTTTTATTTATATAATTATCATATTAATAACGAGATTAATAAGGGTTGCGGTCACGTTATCATCATGCGTTAATCAACCTCGTAGTATAAGAAGATACAAATTTTTATGAATTTAACATTTTTTCTCTCGACAAAACAAACTTCCTCTCACTAGTTGCGAGAATACAATCAAATAGCTTTCACGACTTTGCAACATACTATATTTTTCTTACTAGATCATGCAGTTTTGTAATTCGGCGTTATATATAATCTAGACTCAAAAGTTCAGTCACGACCAGCGTGCTGAACGCGTCAAATTGGTGCAAAAATGAATCATTCGCGTTTCAATTTTGATTTTTAACAAATAAATTTTCAATTATTTGCCTAAATTGAAGTTTTTTTTTGGAAATAAATACTATTTAACATATCAAAGCATAAGCGGTCTCTCTACAGTTCAAAGTTGAGTCTCCAGATTTTTGTCGCGTCCAAAAGTACAAAAATATGACGTGAGTTTGTGAGTCGGTTTTCGATATCATGGAAAGTGATGATAGCCTCGCTTTCTGTTTCACAAAAGCTCTCTCGCAAAAACTCTCGCGATCAAAGGCGGTGATTTCAAAACGGGGCCTTTCTAAATTGCTACACATACGATCTTTTTCCATAATTTATACTTTATACACAAAAACGTTTTGAAATCAAATTCAACTGGTGAAATGTAGAAAATTGCGAAGAGAAGCAAAAAATATACCATAGAGGTAACAACTTTTTATTGAAATCTCTTTTGATAGAATAATAAAAGTTTTGGATAAAGAGAGAGAAGAGCAAATTCTAATAGGTTTTACTCTTTACAGACGAACAAAGGCATAACAAAAATCTATGACCGTGCATTTAAAACCAGATAAACTGATGGAAAAATAGGAATAATTTTTATAAACCGACTTTTCAGAATAATTAGTTTTGATCAGGAAAAATCAACACCAGGGTTGAAGGTTGATAAAATTAAGAGGATCGATTATATAGAAAATGTATTCAAATCAACAGAAAATAAGTTAGCTGAACATATTAATTTACATGGCGACTAAATTTTAGAATTAAAACTCACTGAACTTATCAGAAACATAACGTTTTCGATGCCTGATGAGGCACGTTATCCATTTGTATCAAAATTACGGATGAAAATTGCGCAATTTACACTGATCAAAATCTCTTTTCATTTTTCATTATAATTTTGGAACGAGAAATTAAATTGTCAGAGTAAAATGTAAAAATGTTTAAAAAAATGAATTTTTTATTTTAATTTTTTACCATTAGAATTTGCAAGTCTATTGAGATAAATATAAAATTTAACTTAATGATTACCTCACGCTTGGTTTCGGAAGAAATTGGAAAACTTTGCTTCACTTTCTTGCCGTTGACATCCAAGAAATGCGTGACACAAAATGAGAATTGAATTAATAGACGGACACTTAATTAAAACAGAGAGCGCGCGCGGTTGGCAATCACAAGATTAAACGTGTGTCTCGTGTCGGTCGGATCTTGGCATTAATTTGGGTTAACTGCGTTGGGAGAAGGTGGCGAGAGATTGAAACTGAGTTTGCGGCGAGTGCGAAATGCAATTTAGTAGTTCAGAGCACCCACGACCGCAGAAGGCGGCCAAGGCAACGGCCGGGATGCTGCCAGACTCAACAAAGTCACCCCCACAACACAACTCGCTACCACCGCTAACCCGGCGGCGGGTGCATAATTAATGTATCATACCCTCGGCACTCTCTCACACAGCTAGGCACATACGTAACATGGATTCAGCAGCGCGTGTTTGTTTGTTTGTTTGCAGCTTTGTTCCGAATTGTATCGCCCCTTTCCCGACCCCGCTGGCCACAGTGACCTCAAAATCATAATAATCATATCACGTGCCTCTGGTCTCAACGTGAACGTGGGAAAATTAAGGGGTTTAGATATTATATATCACTGATTTGTCACAGTTTTTGCTTATTTTCGTGCGATATTGAAGCAAAATAACCTTTCTTTTCCACACAAATTTGGTAAAAGGATACTTATTTTGGCAATTTGGATTGGATAATAATTTTGAGAAGATATTTCATGTGAAATTTTAGGATTTTTATTTTAATTTTTATTGTTTAGTTTTGCATCTTAAGCATGAGTTAATTTTAAATCAGCAGCCTGTCAGGGCAACAAATTAAAGAAGTGAATGAATCTGATACCTTTATCTAATATAAGTTATCATATTTCGAATTACTTTTAATTGTAAGATCATGTAAGATAAATTCATCCGAGGAAGTTCAAAGTCTTGAAGTTTTGGAATTAATATTCACAATGCTGATTCTGGTGATGTGTAAAAATGTATAATATTAAATTAGGGAACCCAAATTAAAAATGTTTTCTTCAATGCGAAAACACAATGAAATTGCTAAATGAATAAAATTTAAAAATATAATTATTAAATACAGAAATTTAAAAAAAAAACATATTAACAACTTTAAAGTGTTAATAATTTTTAAAAGCTATAATATATGATAATTATTTATTCTAATTATGATAAATACTTGTATTTTTTTTCAGTAATTATTATTAAAACTGCTGTTTATTATTTCTAATTATATAATAACTGAGACTTCAGCAGAAGAAAAAAAAACCATGGTCTTTTTATAATTTTTGTAGCACAACTAATCAACAACTGCGTATTGTAATATCCCCTTCATATTTAACAAATTTTAATTTATTGGAAGCAAAAAAGCAGTCCCAAATTATGTTAAAACATTAATTTTTCTGAAAGATTGAAACCGGACGAACCTGCAAAGAAAAAATGAAAAAAAGAAAGGACAACTTAATTTTGTTTATTAAAATTAAATTCTCCCATTTTATTTTTAATTTTTTATTATTCCTCCCACTTATTGTTGGTTTTAGTTGGGACACGACAAAACCCTAGGTTTTAAAGTACCAGCAGACCGCAGGTCACCTTTGGGGTCAGATGTCCTTTATTTTTTTCATTTTTTCTTTGCAACGAGGTTCGCCCGGTTTCAATCTTTCATGAAATCCACCTTGAGTGTTACCATTCAAATTAATTTTTCTGATTTGTAAAGTCACTGTGTCCAGAATATTTGGTGATTTCAGTATTGTCCAACTTAATATTTTTGTGTCCCATTATTTGTCAGCGGCACTTTTACAAGCCCTCTTTCGATTCAAATTGATTTTTTTTTATCAGATATATCACTCGGAAACAGACAAACTACCCTCTAGTTAAAATGCGCCGCACCCGATTTCTATCAAACGCTATCTCTGCGTGTTTGCATCATTTTATTTCTGTTAAATTCAGATAACCGAGACTCTCACATGTTTATATCATATTGAAGGCATTATATTTAAATATTATGCAAAAATCGACCGCGCGTGGTAAATGTAGATTTCGCTCGAAATGCTATCAAGGGGTGTGTAAATACAATATTTTTTTTTATATATACAAACGGCGTCATAGACGATTACAATTAATTACCATTGACATAATACACTGCAGCACGGTAATTCGCTTTTTTATTTACATCGAGTGAGCATTTGATTTGATTGATCATACACAATCTAAAATGACGAGCTGCAGAAGATTTTTTTATAATACAATTCACTGCCACAGTTTTTTTTTTATCCATCTGTTTTTATTGCACTTGTAAGACGTCTGACAATGAAAAGTGGTGTGTATTTCGCAATTAAAGAGGGCAACGAGCTGTACAAGTTCCACAGCAACTAGTAAAAGCTGCAAGTGAAAAGTTTCGCTCTTTTAATCGGAGAAATTTATTACGATCAAACAGAATTGTTTATTCTCATCGCATGTGGCCGAACGAAAGAAAACAAGCATCTATTATCTGCAAACACGATCCATTATCTGTATTACAATAACGAATCGATTAAATACATGGTATTTTAAGTGGAGCTCAATTCTATAGAAAAAACACTAACCCTAGGTCGGAAGCACCCTACTCAGCTGTGCACTGCTATTTTTAATATAATTATAGAATTGCGTCAAAATTTGCTGGCCGAATGTGTTCTTTTCCAAGCAAACACTATGATTTTTTTTTTAATTTTATCATATAATATAATTATGCAATAATCAATACACCCGAACCAAATAAGGAACAACAAGATTATATTTCGCTAAAATTTACCCTATAAATTAAATAATGAGTTGACTATGGATTTGTAAGTAAATTGGTTCTACATTAATTTAGGTCAACGTTTCATTTTTCTTTACCTTTAAGAATTCGCATTACAAAATAAAATGTCACACAGAGAAAAATAAAATGAAAATAAAAAAATATTGTTTTATTACATTACCTGATAAAAAATAAATCTAATATAATAAATGTTTGGTACAAATTTTGTGGTTTTAACTATTTTTTAATTTTGTATTTCTTTTTTTAAATAAAATGTAATTTTAAACCTTTGGAAATTTTGAGCTCAAAACATGTATTTAATGAAGGATTTTAAAAATCAAACAAAGTTCATAGTGTTGATTTTGGCTTGTTTCAGGCACACTTGAATTTTCAATTTTTATATTATAAAATATTTTTAAATTGAATCTCCATTTTCTTAATTATATTTAACATTGCATTTTCACGTTTTGAATACTATTTCAATGCCCTAATCAATAAATAAAAGGAGGGGTAAATTTTAGCGAAATATAATCCTTGTTCATTGTTGAAGTATTAAATTGAAATTAAAAACGAAGGTTTCATTTATGTTTGCCTTTTATAGTTATTTTTACGACCAGTTGTCAAAAATTGACCAGAGTAAAATCTCGCATTGTTATTTATTTCGTCATCGATTTTAAGGCAAATTTCGGCTCCGGCTGCGTAAGGGAGCCGCTTCGTTTTTCTCGTGATAGCACCGGAATGTAAAAGTCCAAAATTCACGACTAATTTTGCCCAACACCATGGCACTCACAGTTCGCTGCTGCACGTCGAGCGCGCCAGGTGACTGTCCATGGTGTCGTCCCGTTGTCAGAGCGGCCTGATGGAACTTGATATTGTCAACTCTTCGTCGTCGTCGCCTCGCGGAGTGATTGTTTCCACTCGCGATATGGTGATATCGCTGGAACATGGCAAGAATCACATTTTTCTTTTTTAAATATGTGGAAGAAAAATTTAAAGGCAGCGTCCAGTAATTATTTTTGATTGTTAAAGGATTGTAAATTTCTCAATGGTGATGCTCAAAACATTTTAAAACCGTCGGCTTCATTGATACACTCAAAATAGTCAAAATATAAATTTTTGATATTTTTTTTTTATTTATTCAAAATATGTAAAACCAAAAACGACTTTTCCTGTTTAAACAAGAAAGACTCTTTGTATGTAATTTAAAATGCGTTCCATTTACTAAAATTAAAATGTCAGCAAGTAAAACTCATCAAAAACATTGAGTAAAACACAAATTGCATAGAAAGAATTCATTTGAGTCAGAAAAATCATTAAGCCGTCGGAGAAAATTTAAAAAAGAAGATTAAAAAAAATCCTCAATTTATTTTACTTCTCGAGACATTCAAAATTTATCCCTTGAAGAATAATACAAATACTTAACCCAGGACATTTAATAGCTAATTTAACCTTAAAAATAAATTAATGTAAACAACTTTTGGCTATTGAACAGAAGAAAAATATGTACTAATTTAATTTAACTCTTTATATTATTAATCAATATAGATTCTAGCAATAAATAAAGCGATAAGATACTTTACTTGACTCCAAATTACAATTAATTTTTTCAAGATTAACTCACCAATTTTAAATTGAAAGAACCGGTAAAGTAGGAAGTGTTGATTGATTTACATGGTATACAAATTACCGCTTCATGTAAACAAACCTGCGTTGTTAAAATATAATTGAAATGAAAAATTAATCCCAAATTAACCAGTGAAAATCAATAGGTACGATTTTTTTTTAAATAATTTAAAAATAAGACTTAACTTTTTCTGATTAAAAATCTTGTTTTCACGAAAATTATTTACAATTAAAAGGAATGAACCATCAAAAATTGTTGCTTAAATATAAAAATGTATTGGCAAGACAATAAAAAATGCATACCTTGGATTTGTGGGAAGCTTATTGTGAGGTCTCTTCAACGGCGCGGTGCTCTTTCTTGAGCACCGGCAGTCGCAGTGGAGGACACACAGACACACCGAGGCTATGGAGGTCACTGCAAATGGCACAAGAAAGTAGTGGAGGATTGTGTCGATGTGTTCCTCGCGATCGTAACTGCAAAAAAACCCAGAAAAATCCCAAATCAATTCAACTTTGTGAACTCATTATTAATACAAAAATTAATTGTTGTCTACCAAATTTAATATAATTTTACTTTTCATCATTTCATTTTATTTCATGAATAATTAAAGTGGACGAAATAAAAATACCTTGGCATAACAAGAGAGGCGTTCTTTCGCGAGTAGTGACAGTCGAACTTGGCACCTTCCCTGGCGTAGAGTTCCCAGAAGCGCGAGCACTGCACTTCAGGCGGATATCCACAGCCTTTGATGTTCACCAGCAGGGTGGCCTCCACCTGAAACTCACACGGTTTTGGATCAGAATTGAAAAGAAGCGCCGACTTTTGTGTGTTTAATTGTGATGCTCCCCACCGAGAGCGAGGGCTAAAATTGGCATCAATGGTATTGAATGGAGAAGAGCCGGGCGATGAATGAAGTGATTGATGGAAATTGCTTTACAAATAAAAAGAACCGAGACTGAACAATTATTAAATGATGGAGAAATGCAGTGTTAACAGATTTATTTTGGTAGATTCTTTCGCTTTGCAATTTTTTTTAATAAGTAATTCTGTTAATCCGCATTTACTTTTAAATCAATGAGTCACAAAGAAATGTTTTTTGCTAGTTACAAGTTTATTTACTCAAAAGCAGCTAATTTTGGAATCACTTCAAAAACAAATATACACTGCGAGTATTTTGGCTGGAGTCGAATCAATGCTATCTGATTTTTACATTATTTGCTACGTGATTAAACATTACTGAGAAAAATTGTTTCAATATGCAAAATTGAACAAAATAAAAAATTAAAACCGGAAAAGAGATAACATGGAAAATAAAAGGACACGGACCCAATAGGCACTTAAAAACCTTAGATCCAAACTTAAAATAACTGCAGATGACCTAAATTTTTATTATATATCTTTTTTTACTATAAACTATTTAAAATAAGAGCAACTTGAAAAAAAACTGGCCCTTGTTATCAGGCCTCTTTTAAAAATTTGTTTTAAATATAACCAATAACTAATAACTAATTTTCCATCGTGGTTTTCAATAAAAATTTATCCTCTAATTTATGGCAAATCGTTAAAGATATTAATTCTAAAGGTCGATCTTTTTCAAGGCCTGCTGTGTAAGGAAATTTAATTGTCACTATTTTAACAAACTTTGTAAATAAAATAAAATAAATTAATTCTAAAATTAATTTATTTTTTTCAAAACATTTTTTTCTTTTACAAGTTTAAAATTATTTAAGCAAATTGACAAATAAGCAAACAATTAAAATTTATTTTTCTTAAGAAACTTGAATCAGTTACAAATTCAACTTGTAAGTCAACAAGCACAATGATCACTTCATAAAAAACTTTATTTTTGCTGCAGGGCTTTTTCGTCAACGTTTTTTTAAAGTGAAAAATGCTAAGAAGTTCAAACACACAGAGACGATAAGTATCAATGTTACACTTTAACACTAACGGTGCGACGAAGAGGCGCGCATACGAAGTCAAATGAGTTTTTTACGGCGCGTCGCCGTCGGCAAGAGATAGCAGCGGAACACAAGGGGCAAATTATTGAAGCCGGAGGAAAATCTGCGAAGAATGCGCGAATCTGCCTGCGAGTGAAGGAAAAAATCCCTTTCATTGTGCAGAGAGAGGATGAAACTCGGCAGCCACAATAATGGCAGCGACGCAATATTACAACAATCCATCTCGAGGCGGGCAATTTCGCGGCAACTTTTCTTTCCTCCTCGCGTTCCCTCGAGAATTGAAAGAAAAATCTACCCACTTTACCGGCCAAGGCTAAGAAGCTAATAGTGAAAAAAGCTTATTGCTGACTTTTTTAAAATTTAATGAATCAATTTTGCCAACGAAGATAATTATTCTGATTCAAAATATATGTGTGCAACTGACATTAAACATTGTTTAGGACTTGTTAAACACGCATTCAGGCTCAGATTGCATGCAGGCTGAGATTGCATGCAGGCTGAAATTGCATGCAGGCGGAGATTGCATGCAGGCTGAGATTGCATGCAGGCTCAGATTGCATGCAGGCTGAGATTGCATGCACGATTGCATGCAGGCTGAGATTGCATGCAGGCTGAGATTGCATGCAGGCTGAGATTGCATGCAGGCTCAGATTGCATGCAGGCTGAGAATGCATGCACGATTGCATGCAGGCTGAGATTGCATGCACGATTGCATGCAGGCTGAGATTGCATGCAAACAAAAAACCCTTTTATAATATATTTTTTTTTTACTTTTAATACATTTTTTTAATTATTTTTGAAATGTATTGATATACTTAAAATAATATTTTAATGATTTCATTACATTTTGAAAATAAATCAAATTTTTTCATGAAAATTATTGCCATCATTGTTTAACAATAGATCTTAAACCGAAATTTAATTTATTAATATAATATGTGCCTACAAGACAATGTGCATTATGTCAGGAACAAAGACATTTGCCTCTCTGCTGAACGCTTATTGATGACGCATTTTAATTAAATCACCTATTCGACCATAAATATCAGATCTCTTAAAAAATTAAATTATTCTGGAGTGTAGATTTGGTTTTCAGAATTTTAAATATAGTATGCAAAAATTTTGCTTAAAAATCAACTGGGATTTTTAAACAAAAATTTATATTAAAATTAGTCGCTTTCGTGGAGGAATAGAGAATTTTTCGCAAGTCTTTTTAAAGATAAAATGTTTTCTTTTCTCTTATTTAGTGCCGCATTGATAAATCAATAGGCGGCCCCTATCGCTAATGAGAGGCGGCTTTTGACTCCACCACTCAGCTAAATATAAAAATTAATAATTTATCTCCGACGGCAAACCGAATTACACGGACACGCTTGAGGCGCGCGAGAGAATTCAACTGCTGCTGCGCGAACCGAACTAATTCAAAAGTTTCTCCACTCTCTTGCTCTGTTTCAAAGAAATTGCCCAGACGAAAACTTTTGAACAGGGCATAGCACCCCGCGAGCGTACTTTCATCAGGGCACATGTCGCAACTCTCCACTCCGAAGAACCCCTACATACTGTGAATAAACACATACATATATGCAGGAAAGAAAGTTCAGTAGTGGTGAAATTATTTCTGAGAACTACAGAAATAAATTGTGCGAAGGGTTTTTACACTAACCTGTTCTTAAAATATTTGAATTTAAATAAACTTTCTTGAGATTTTTGTAAAAAAAAACGAGCTATTTTATGAGCTTTTAATTAAAAATTTAATTTTTCACCTCAGGCTCAACTTTGTAAGGCTTCAATAGAAGTGGAATTCCGCGTGCAGAATTTGAGCCCTGCGGAAAATTCCTTATTGAATTTTTTAGAGGAGTTTTTAATTAAAAATCCTAAATGAGAGCATCATAATTTTCAATATTGATTAAGCATAAATCCAATACTTACTGGTTGAGAATAATTTTTTTCTACGCTTCATTATTGGTGGTGAATAGTTAGTCAGATTTTATAAGTTTCAAAATGCTGCAGCATTTTTTTTTTTAACTATTTTTCAAAGTTGTTTTTTGACTTGTTCAACTAAAAATTGATTTGCAAAATCTCTAAAATGGGAGACAACGTAAACCAAACAGCATAATTAATTTAGATGATAATTTTTATATAGTTTTTGTTGATCCAATGAGAAAACAAACAAATATTTTAATCAATTGCGAGACCTGATGATTTTCTCAAAGCTCGTAATCAAAAATTAAATCTCATATTTAAAATCCAATTACAAACTCCATTTAAGGTGAAATCATTTTTATAGTTTTAATATCACGACCTCCTCGTTGCACAATTTTAGCCAATTTGGTTTTGCTCCAAAAATGTTAAGTCACTACAGACTAAATAAAAAAAATAATTTCCACATGCTTAAAAAATGCACTATTTGAAAGCGTGTCACCTCGTTTCCATTCCATTCAGGATCAAATATATTAAAAGTTGACGCGCATTATTAAAAGTAGGCGCGCGTTTCTATGGAAATGACCGGAAGCGACCCGTCATTAAAACGAGAGCATGAAATAGGATAGCAACAACATTTAACGACGCGCACAACTGACGCAAAAAGCACAATTATTTCGCACCTTAAACAAACAAAAACGACGCTTTTTGGCCAGTTCATTGTTTTTGCCACGTTTCCAATCCATTAGGCAGCAGCAAAGCAACGTGCGACACCGGTGTGTTGTTGTTGCTGCTTTTTTTCTAGATTTTTTGAAATGGGGTGTGCGTGATTCGAACTCGGCAGACAGTCAGTTATTTATTATCCTTTACGTGCACACGCGTGTCTCTCTCTCTCTCTCTCTCTCTCTCTCTCTCTCTCTCTCTCTCTCTCTCTCAGTGTCCAGCTACTAATTATTCGCCCGACGGACTATCTAACGATCTTTCCGACTGCCGAGATTGACTGCGGACACACCTGTTTCGAATAACCAAACGCGTTCGGAATTAAAGCGGACGCTTCTGAAAGGAAAGAACATGCGTCTTTTAACCCACGTTGACCTTGGAAAGGTTGGACGGGCAAAAGGGTTAGAGTTAAAGTTTCAAATTAAATCGTAATAATAATCTGATGCCATAATATTTGTACAACCCCTACCCAAAAAATAGAAGGTTGGCTTGATAACTCTTGATAATTGATTAAAGTTTAAATAAAAATAAATATTATGTACGTAAATGTGTGCAAAAATACATATATTTTATTTATATTTTTGCCAATATGAGTTTAATTAATTAACAATTTTTATAGAATTTATTTTAATAAAAATTTTTTGATGCTTTCAAAGAAATCAAAGGCAAGAAAATTAGTGCAATGAGATTTACTTAAAACTAAATTTATAACATATTAAATACATGCTAACTTAGGTTGATGTTACCAAGGTTATGGTAACAAAATTTTCACTGTGCATGCACAAGATTAAATATTGAGATGTTAGTTTTAAAAATTATTTAAAATTAGTATGAAATTGGTATATAATTATGAAAAATAATTCGTTTGCTTTTCAAACACAAAATGTCCTTTTATATTTTTTTTTTCTACTTTCCAGCTTGACAAGTAGGTTTTATGAGTTTGTTTACCAGAGCTGGCTGCCAATTCTCTCCCAATGTGACTTTTCCGTTTCTGTTTGACTTGTTGCGAGAGAATAAATTAATTGAAATATAAACTCAATATTTAAATAGAAAATGTATCTAGCAGACGAGAGAGTTAAATTATATTTGAGTTGAAATAGCAAACAGCAGCTTTAAACATGTAATTGCATTTCGCGCAAAAATAATAAACAGGCGTAATGCACGATCTGTGTAAAACAATAAAATTGTCGTCGGCGTGTTGATGTTCCGCCTTTTATGGGAGCAACACCTAGCGTTGATATTAATGTGTGCCGTGTACTGCAAAATTTGCGCCTGTGACAACATGTGCGCTTTTTGGCAAACACGAAACCTCTACTTTTGTACGCAAACAAATCTTTACCGCCTCGTAAAAGCACTTCCCGTTTGTCGTTGCTCGGGCGAATATAAAAAAAAAAATTGTAGCAAAACAAAAATATCAATCAAACATATTTTATGTATATTTCTTCAAATGATGATCTCGTTTGTTCAAAAATGAATGAATTAACTTTGAAACTAAAATTAGTAAAATTCACATGATATCGATCCAGAAAACTTAATTTAAACAATGAAACGTGTTTTTGAGATACATTTGGTACAAAAAAGTTGTTTCATTCAATTCTAGCATCATCAATTTTTGTTTTTATGATCTGATCTTTGAATCCGCAACTAAATGCATTTTTGTTACGGTTAATTCCGTGAATTTATAGAGATTCAATATTTTTTAATTTTATTGCACATGGCATTATTGATGGATTGAAAATTTATAAAAATTACACACAATCAATCATTCATCAATCGACATTTTAAGATATACATGTAAAAAAAAAAAAAATAATTAGTTTATTAATGCTTATTTCATTATTTTAATGGGTGTTTTTTTTTTTATTATTTAAAACTACTTCACTGACTCACTTATATTGATAAAAAAAACTTTGTTTTCTAAAGGAAAAAATATATTAATTGAACGAAAAAACTGATATAATCGCCTCAAAGATTAGTACTTTAAAAAACGTAAAAAAATTATTTGATTTTAAGTAACAAAACGGTAATTACTGAATAGACTTCACACACAAAATAACTATAAAAAACCGACTTTTTTGGTTTAAAATGATCATTTGATTAGCTTTCTCAAGGTTCAGATGTTCAGACTTCATTCATCTTGAGACAAAGCTCAATAATTTTTATTATTAATCCAACCGGTTCAAAAAAGTTAAAGAGAAAAAGTAAAAAATGTACTTAATTGTCGACAGAAATTATTTGAAAATTGCTGTTAGACCAGTAAAAATGTTTGTTTGTTATTTTGATCAGAAAATTGATGAGTTTGATGACTCACCCGTCGTTCGTCGGAGAAATTTTGGTTGGGCGTGTAGACGACAGACACGTGGGTGCACTTGTAGAGGTCGGAGGTGCAGCCCTCGCGGCACGAGCTCCACGTGCAGTTGCCGATGCCGGCGAGGTACTCGACCTGCGAGGTCTCGCAGGTGACCGGCTCAGGGTCAAAGTCGGACATGAGGGTGGAGACGGCCGGGTCGACGTAGAGCGGCACCAGGAAGAGGAGGGCCGCGAAGCCGCCGCTGACGGTCATGGCCATCGCCGAGGTCACATAGAACTTGAGCCGCTCCATGCAGGTGCGCACCGGCGCCGGGGGCGGCGGCGGCTCCGGGGCCTTGCGGGGCCGGTCCAGCAGCAACTCGGAACTGCTCCCGTGCATTTCCTTCCAGCCCCTCAGCAAATCATTTGAAGCAAATCACCATCCCCTGAAGAAAAACATCATAATATTCCGTAAAAACAAGTCTTATCACAAGCAGTTTTTTTTTTTTATCTGAAACATCTTAAATTGAAATTTCATTTAATATTACAATATTGTTTTTTTTCACTATCTTAAATAAAGTTCTACAATCAATCTAATCATAGAAAATTAAAATTATTTATAACGGAATACAAAGAGACAAGAGATAACAATTAAAAAAGAGTAGAGTTGAATTTAAACAAATAATTTCATTGTTAATTTTTTTTCATAAACACAGCTTGACATTATGATCAGATATTAAATTACGACGACTCAAAACGTTCAGATGAATGACCTGCAAGGTTAACGTCAAATTGTCATAAAATGCATAGCTGAGAAGTTTGTTATTTATTATCAAATCATACATTTCAATATAATATACACTTTTTTAGTAAAATAAATAAATTTTATTTAAAAATAAATAATGTTTGTCAAAATAAATAATTAAAAATTATTTTAATAAAATATAAAATTTAAATTTAAAAATCAAGGCTTATCGTTTTATTATATAACAAGTTAAAATATAATAATTTTTGTTAAAATTTTATATAGTAAAGTTATAATTAATTCTTAAACATCTTACAAATAATTCAAATTTTACCTAGATGCAAAAATATTGTTATTTGATTTAATTATTGTATTTTTATATCTGGAAAAAAACAATCTATAAAATATTATTTTAAAATTTTCAAATTAATACTAACATATTCCAATTGATAAGACTATTAATTTTCAATAAACTCTTACAAAATATATGAAAATTCATCAACATATGACATTAATGTCGCTCTTAAATTTATGTACTCTTAATTTACACATGCTTAAAATAATTAAATAAAAAAAAACAATAATAAATTTATATTCAAATAATTTAATCAATTCTATAATTTTGCATAAAAATTATGATTTATGATGAAACATAGCAAAGCTTACCTGGAAAATGTGCAGAGAGTATCCGTGGGGCGGTCAGAGGGTCACAGGCATCGGGGACAGTTGAATCGGGGGCGGCAAATGGCGGGGCATTGCCTGGGGGCTGTGCGGGTTGGCGACCCGTCCTCGACTGAGCCGTCGGGCGGATCTATCTGCCTTTTTAAGGGCGAACTAGCGGGGGCGCTGCGAGCCGGTGTGTCGCGCTCCACCTCCTCCCCCGCTGCTGCCGGGGGTGGACGGACTGTCGGCGGGGGTGGCTGCTGCTTCTTCTTTTTCGCACAAGTTGCAAATGTGTGTATGTGCTCGGCCGCGATCAAAGCGAGAAATGAATTCGCCGCTGCCGCCGCCGCTCTTGACGAGAGCAATGATTTTTTTTTCTTTGACCTTGAACCCCCCTTTTGTTTCTTCTCGTTAATTGTGAGAGAGTGGAAAACAGCAGGGTCTGTCACTTGAATACGGTACGAAACTTTTAATTTGGCTTCATGACCACGCAGAAATGAAATTATATTCAGCTTTTAAAACTTCCAAATTGATATTCATTCCAAATTTTAAGACAGACAAGGTCCCAAAAATAAACTTTTAAGAGAAAATGTATTAAATTAAAAGAATGAACAGTAGTTTAATTAATGTTTTTTTTTCATTATATTATTTTATCAAATAACTTTAATTTTATCGATTAATTTTTATTTTTTTTAATTTTTAATTTTGGAATAAATAGCAATATTCACTAAGTTGTTTAAAATTTTGGGTATTCTACTATCTACTTTTATAATTTTAATATATAAATATTGGTTGATAATTGAATAATAAAACTTTAATTAATAAATAATTTCCGATCTCACGTTTTATGGTACAAAATTGACATGCATTGAAAGATTAGACGAGATCATAGGAGTCATGGAATCGAAAAGAAAATAATTGAATGAATAAATAGAATGTTTATATACATATTTCATGTCATAAAATGCTGGCCGCTGCAATTACGTGTTCCACATACAATTAAGCACTTCACGTGTAATGCTGAGCGTAACTGCAGCCATTTCAAAGCTCAAAAAAAAAAATCCGGACTCATAATTAGAAATGTACGCATGAATGGCAAACCAACGCAGCATTTCATTTTTCGCTCTGAAAATTAAAACAAAGGTTGTTTTTTTTATTACAAAACGCTCTTTGGTAGTTTCAGTTCATGCAGCAACTTTTAATTATTGCAGAATAAATGCAAAAATTAAGTGAGAAGGAAATAACAACCTGGTTAATGACGTTTTGTTGCATCTCTATAATTTGATTCATCTAATTAATTTTTGGTTATAAAAAAGTTAGAATTAAAAATATGTAGAGCTTGAAAAATTGTGATTTGGAATTTAAAACGTCTACATAAAAATTTCATTAAATTCTAAATAATCTTAATAAAATATTTTGTTTCACAAGCTTGATTTAAATATTCAAAGTTAATGTGAACGATAAATAGTCTGTATACATAAAAAATAATTGAACGCAAGGATGAATTATTTTTGCAGAAATTATGATAAACGCCATGAGGTATGCAATGCCTGGTGTAAAAACCCAAACGTCTCGGTGGAAATAATGAAGGATTTTGAAGATTTAGGTCACCTCAAAAGACGCGATGCATATTTTCTCAAGTGAAAGCAGCTGCAGTCTCGAGATGGAAATTTTCTTGCTGTTATAATGACTCTGGTTGACTGAAAAAGCAGAGAGAAGCGGTGTTTTGTCGCCACCGACCTGAAAACGAGCGAATTCTGCAAACAAATTGGCGCAATGCACATTAAGCGGAAAGAGGTGGTAAAATGTTACGGGCGCACGAAGGAATTTGCTCTTTTTCGACGCGCCTCGTTTTTCCACAGAAAACCGCGATCGCAACATTCAGCAGATGGCTCCATTTTCCGAGAACGCGCCGCGGCCGGTCATTTTAATTTCGCCAAAGTTGCGAGAATTCCCAGAGCACCGCCGCCCGCCTTCCTCCTAAAGGCAATCTGTCGAGCTGCAATGTCGAGCCGGTTGCATAATTTGCCCCTTTTATTGCCGAGCCGAGCCTTTGCATGAAAATTCTCTTCCACCTCAAATATCTCTGATCTGAAAAGCTTTCCAACTTTGTATTTTACTGATTTAAATAAAAATTCAAATATTTAAAACTTGTTACAAAATATTTAATGCATTTATAAACATGGGATTAAATTTTTTTATCGAAGAAATGTAATTTTGCATGAAAATAAATGTGTTTTTTTTATAAAGAGTGAAATTTGAGTGGTGATCTGGGCTTGACGACTTTTTCGTGGGCTTCGGTGCTACTGGGACTAAAAATCAGCTCCTCCCTGTTCTCCGATTCATCAATATCCGAGTTTTGTGCTCTTCTGGAACCAGGCTTACTTTTCATTCGACCATTTTTACTTCCGACTGAAATTGATTTTCATCACACAATTTAAGAAGTAAATTATAAGGACAATATAAATTACTGTTTTCAACTTCATCTCTTTGGATGACATCTTTGATTTTAACTTTTCTTGAAGAAATGTCATTTCTTTGTCCTGATCTAAAATTATCTCGGTCCTGTGAATATCAGAATACACATTAATTTGTAGCGAAGATCTCGAGGAGATTTTCGTCAAGTGAAAAACGGGGCTTGTCTTTATGAGATAAATTGCTTTTATTAAAATAAAAAAGTTCTTATTTGAAACTAAAAGTTAACAAAATCTACACTTTGACATGATTTTTAGGCTTGTATACTTAAATTTGAGCTTAAAATTTTTATTTTCAAGCCATATATCTCAGGTTTTTATATTTAAGTATCAACCTATTTAAAAATTTTAATAAAACGAAACCAAATTTAAGTAGAATAATTATAAATAAGTGTATTTTACTGATCTTTAATGAAAATGAAAAAAGTTGATCTTTAATTAACAATTTATGGGACTATTAATAAGGAAATGCACCCCCTTTTCACCCCAAAATTATTGTTACCACCAAAATTTGAAACCTCTCACCTGATCCCGTTCCTGATCAGAGTTGGCTCCATATTTATTTCTTCTACTGCTGATTTCCTTTTCGGAACTTTGCTGGTTTCTCGTCGGCGTCGTCCTCCTGACATCGAACCTGCGATCCTGCAACTTGGTGCTCAAGGGAGGGGAGGTTGTGGAGGAGGCGTTCGGGGCTGGTGTTTGCGGCTTCAGCAGTTCAAACGCATCGTTAGCCGGCGTTTCCGGTCTGCTGGCCGGCTTCACTTGACTCGTGTTGGTGAGGGTGAAGGGATTGCACCCTTGCAGACGCTGCATGTCCTTGGAGCAGTCGTTATCTGCCAGAAATGAGTGAGTACAAAACCCCAACTCAAAAGTCTTTGGGCGTGTCTTGTGGCTCAATTTTGCACAACCTGACACAACCAAAGCTGATTTAAGATTAGAGACCTCGGAGAGATATGAATTTATTTCTACGTTCTTGATTGTCTTCCTAGAGAACTTCAAAGGAAACTTTTCCCTAATTAATTTGTCTTTCCGTTTTTAGTTTAATATAAATTGTTAATTAATTGTATATAAATAAAAACTGCAATTTTAATTGATTAATTCTATTTTCCATAATGATGAGAAAACTAATGCTAATTCTGCTTTTGATTGTTTTAATGGATTCGTTCCTTTGAAAGAATCTTAAAAGCCTTAAAACTTTCTATTGACAATGAAACTTTTATTTTGATATAATTTAAATAAATAAAATATAAATTAAGCTTTACTTTATAATTTATATATGTTAAAAAAAATTTAAAAATTTTAAATTATTTTATTAAATATTATAATAATTATTTATATTTTAACAGTTTACTAATAAGTTTAAAATATTTTTATCTTTCTTTCATCAGGAATATGACGATATGTGAAGAAAATTAACATTTTTTTACAAATTATATAAACATGACTGCAATTGCATATACAATATTTGTAATTGCTAGTGTATAGTACTTTTTTGAAGTTAGGCTAATTCCCAATTTAAATTTTTTTATGTTTATAATTAAACGATTTGAATGCATAAGATCCTTATTCCTTATTATATCTAGCAAATTATGTCATTCCCCCCTTCTGAATCCTCTAAAATTTTATGTATTATTTTTCTCGTCGATCCCAAACCACTCTCCCTGAATCACGCCGCGCGCCTCAAGAGAAATAACATTATGCAGGCGCAATAAAAGCCAAAAATCGATTTGGTGCAATGCAAAATAAAAAATAACATTTTTTTTGTTGCATCAGCATGACGAGTGGGAGCGGGGTTGACGGGATTTATTTATCTCGCGGGGAAATCTTGTGCTCTTACCCCTGTTTATGATTTCCGCATCTGGGCAGGCCTGAAACAGTGTTTTCAAAAACAAAGTCATTCGCCATCACAAGATGTGAATGTTTACGTTGAATAGTTTCTTCTTCATGCATTTCAACATCACCCACGGCAAAACGCTGCAGTTTTCGCCAGAGAGGGAGTTCAAAATTTTTGTCTGAACAACTGGAATTGAAATATGTTTTTAAAATCGAATAATTTATTCGGTTTTCGTTTCAAATCGAATTGTAAAAAAAATAATCAGTATATACCTTTTTGTCAAAAATTTCAGATTCATTGAGAAAATATGGTTAGTTAAATTGTAAAATTTTTAAACTTAAAATTATATTATTCAGTTTCTTCTAATTAAACTTGTTATAAATTATAATTATATTGTTTTATGCATTTTTTGCCAAATTTTTCTTGTTTTCTGTATTTTATGGTCGTGTATTTCCCTTCAAATTAAGAATGCAACTAAAAATTAATACAAGGGAGAAATCGTATAAAAATTATAAAATAATTAAATGCTCAAAGTTTTCAGAGTGAAATAAGCACAGTCGCAAGACTGGTATCTTTTTGCCGGAAGTATACATAGCCGATAAAAAAAGGAGAAACTCTCACGTTTCGCAATGTCGTCGTTGCATTGAATAATCCACTCTCTGATTGACTCGCGTTTCCATGAACTAGTGGAGGAGTTTTCAAGGCTCGCCGTGATTTGCAAAATGTCCAGAGCAGTCCCGTCGTCCGACATCTGATATTTACAAAGTTTTTTTTTATTTTAATAATTTTAATTCTTTCCATTTTTCTCACCAGATTCAATTCTCGGAACGCACAATCGTACAAGCACTTTAAAATACTTTTCAATAAATTATTCAGAAAAATCTCAACGCAAAAATTACTCTCGGTCCTCTCCTGACCTTAACTGTAAAAGGAAAAAGTTATTTTTAATATACAATAATTGTTTTTTTCTTCTTCTTCGCCCACTGATTATTCGGGACTCTCAGCCACTCAATCACATTTACGCATCACATGCAAACGGAAACGTTAAGGCGGTCGCACGCAATTCGGAAATGCTCACGTACACCGCTTGCTGTATTCAGGCGAAACGTCGTCTCTGATTGTGCAATTATCGATCATGCTGCGAGGCACCAACACAGGCAGACGACAACACCTTTTGTTCAGCCTCTTCAGCAAACACACAAAGATATTGTGCTCATTAATATTGATGTTTGGCAAATTAAAAAGGAAAGTTAAAACCAGAACTTTTCAGACCCTTTCAACTTTCAAAAAAAAAACCCTCCGATATAATATTTACTCTGCTCAGCAATATTATAAAATTTTAAATCTTAAATCTTACTTCCATCAAAATTGCGGTGCAGTCGTAGCCCTTTTCTTCGAGAACCTGCACTTGCTGAGCAGGCGTCTCGTAGTTCCTCTTTAGGGACCCATTAGTGTCGACGCGTTGCTCCTGCTGATCATTTTGAACATACTGCGGAGTACTTAGGTCGGTCGACCGATCATCATCCGACAGAGATATCTTGTCCTGTTGCTGGTAGAACGGCAACTCTTTCAAAAGCGAAGGGTGCAACCCTAACGAGACATCGAGTTGCCCGACGCCGCGACCAAAGCCGCCGATCCGCTCCTCTTTCTTTTGTACTTCGAATAAAAATAATTAAAAAAAATAAATGTAAATAAAGTGAATTAACCAAAAAATCTAAATTTAAACGAAAATAATGAAATTTCTACAGTTGAGGACGTAATGTTGAAAATGAAAGCACTTTTTAAGGAGTTGGAAATAAAATCATAAATTGTTTAGTATTGAGTTTCCTTTTGAATAAATTGTAAATATTATCAGGAGAACCTACAAAATAGACAGTGAAATATTTCGAGTTTAAATTTTTTATTTGACCTGCATTCGATTCTCGGAACTCTCTTTTGTAACTGATGTAGAACAACGTGGTAAACTTTTTATGGCAAAATCCTCGCTCATTGTTATTCAAATCAGGCATTATTGTGAGTTGTTATGAATATTCCACCCTATAACACTGAAAGATTTTTATTTATTCATGCGCGCCTCGCCCAGAGGGAAACCGATTCTTTGATCCAGCGCCGGACGAAAAATCAATTTTCCAATAAATTTGATATGCGCCCATCGTTGGGCGCACTGCTGAATATTGAAACGATTCCACCGCGAGGCCTTTACCAGAGAGGCCGTAAAGATTAAATTGATAGCCAAACTGCAGTAAATGATAAAAAATAAAAATAAAATCGATTGAATTTAGACATAATGCTTATGTGAACATAATAAAGAAGCAATAAATTTTGGTAATAAGAAAATAAGGAAAAAAATTAAAAGGAAGTTCTGGAAGGAGTTTTTTTTTAATTCGTAAGGCCAAGACTAAGTCTCTGATCTGCATGATTATGGTTGTGCTTAACTTGCTTGAATATTTAGAATTATAAAAAAAAAATGCCATAGAATTTAAATCACTTAATTCTTACAATTTGCAATTTACTTCAGTGCTGATAGTTTAAATAAAATCCAAATAATCTTTGAAAATTATCAAATTTAAACCAATTCCAAAGATCTGACAGCTGCATCAATTTAAAACAAAACATTTCAGATTTTTCTAGAGCTCCTTCTCTTTGAGTTACGATTGCAAAGTTTTTTCCGTTTAAGAAATTATCTTTGCAAAAAAAAAAAATGACAGAGTTATTAAGTACGGTCTAAAGTTTTGCAAACATATATGGCTTTCACTCTAGTTTAGAAAACTTTTTGAGCTTATAGCTTATGTCAATTTGGTCCAAAACAATTTTCTGGAATTTTTTTGTTAAGTTCTATGCAATCTTAAGGTTTCCCTGATTAACTTCATTTACGCGCATTTTCTAATTAATTCTCTGGACTTTTGTCAGTCAAAAAATTTAAATTTATGAAAATGAAATACGAAAATCGTGATAATTATATAATTTCTCTGAATATGTGTGTATAATTCATCGGTGGAAGAGGAGGAATGGAAATTTCTAGGCGCACTGACCGACCATATATACTGACCATTATTTACAAGCTCGGCAGTCAGCATCGGCGCAACCTGCGTTCGAGAATAAATCCATAGTGCGCTCTGTGATATTGAATTTTGCGCCGACAGGGCGTCTTGATAATGCAATACCTGGACGAGGATCGTCGCGACGACCAAAACGGCGCTCCCGGCTCGCATCATTCACAGGCATTACGCGGATTTATTTCGCGTGCACACACATTTTTCCAGCCTTCAGTGCGAAAGTGAAGAGTAAATAATCGCGTTTTAATGGGGCTGGTAAACTGGCGCCGCGTTTGTTCGACGCGCGCACAACTTATTTTCGCATGGACGCGCTCCCGTGTATATTGTGACAGTTGTGAAAAACGTCCTTGTATTTGTGTGGTGCCCCCATTTCATTTTGTCACTGGCACACTTCCGGACAGTCCGTTGCGAAGGCGTGGGCTGACGCGGAAAATATTCAAAACATTTTTGTATTTTTTTCAATAAAAAATATAAAATTTTGCATTAAACCAAAATCAAGTTTATTTTACAAATTTTGTTTTTTCATCATACAAAATTATCTAAATAATGCAATAAATAAAGCAATGATAATTAATGAAAATGAAAAATTTCTGGTTTACTTGCTGTGTTCTGCAGGATAATCGTAATCGATAGCTTTTTCTTTCTCATCGTCTTACATTTTCTACACTGATATTAAAAAAAAAATATTCTTTTTAATACAAAGTCTTATACACTGAGACGAAATACGGATTTAATTTTTAAATTTTAAAAATATTCAACAATGTAAATTTTAATTTGTTTAAATCTTTAATTTCCACGTGCAATTATTTATTCTTATTTTACTCTATAAGCAAATAGGATTCGGAAATTTTTCCACTTCTGACTTTTCTCATTGCCTGATAAATAACTAAAATAAATTACACATTTTTATTAAATTTAAGTAAGCTGGAAAATGAAGCAAATATAAATTTACCATTTTCCTTACATTGTACAATTTTGAGTGAGACTTTTAACCTTCTGCGGACTTGGCTTTTACTTTGAATGTTTGCGCTGGAATTTCTTCTTTTTGAAGAAGCCAAGAAATTAATTTTAATTATGTAAAAATTGTAACTTATGTTTAATTTCATACACTATCGTAATTTATTTGAGAATATAAAAAGTTTGTACTCAGTTAGCAACGAGTCATGGATTTTTTGATTGATTTGAGATTGAAGTAATTTTTGGTGGTTTGATATCAGACGCATCACACGGCTAAAACATCACATTGTCGGAGAACGTTTGTGTTGGCCGTGCACAAAGAACCTGCATCATTAGATTAAATATTTTAATTTTGATCGATTGTTTTAAATAATAATTAATACCTGAATCCAAGAGGGAAGGACAGTTCTATTATGAAACAATAAAATAAAACTATTTTTGAACAAATGAAGAAAAAAAAGTACCGCGATGAGATATCTCTTGATGCAGCGCATTAACTTGATCGGAGCCACGAGGCAAACCTTTCGGTTTGCGTCCAAAACGTTCTCGATCATTCCTCCTGCAGAAATAAAATTCGAAACGGGTTATTAGAAAATCAAATGTCGTTTTGAGCGGGCACCTCCTGCGGTGACACTGGCACAGTCCGTTTTCGCGGACGCCAACAATGTACCCCAGGCGGTGGGCACCATGGCAGTCATTGCGGCGAACATTAAATCCACGTTCAGCGAGTTCTCCTGGGAAATCTGCAAGAAATTCGATGCAGACTTGAAAAATGGAATATCGAATCCGTTAAATTTGAAAAATCAATCATTCAGATATCATGGTTAAAATAAATTTCCAATAAAATATTTTTGTCACAATGAAAAAGGAATAGATTTATTAAATCAACAAAAAGCAATATTTTGTTAATTACCAATATTATTGTGTTAAATTATTGCTTTTCTTAATTTTAATTCATTTTTTACTCATTTGACTTGATTTGTGAAGAATAAACAACAATAACAGTAATAATTTGTTGGTAAAATTTCTATGCTCTGATTGTGAGTTCAAAGCTGTCAATAAATTATATAATCAAATGAACATTAATTTTGCAAAATAAATATTCAAGTTCTTTCAACAATTATATTTAAATAATATCAAATTTTGTAAAATTTTTCGTCTTAGATTTCATAGAATTAGTTAGCAACAGTTTTAGATTTTGAATAATTTCAGATTTTTATTAAATTAATATGATTGGTAAAAAAAATTATCAAAATTATGTTACCCATTTGAGAGTCCGAAACATGCAGTCCACCATGCACTACACACGTATCATGAAAGATGGAAAATAAAAAAAAACGGCATTTCTTACTATTTGTCTTGTGGATGTTTTGCGACCAATGATGGCAGCTGAAATCAGAGCATTTTTTTTTGTGTGAGTGTAAAACGACGTGTTTTTTTGCAGACGCGAGGGGCAACACGTGCGATCTAGCACACTTGAGCCGCGGCGGCGTATGTTCTCTGTAATAGCCCCCTGGGTGAAGGAGCGAAATCTTTTATAGTCAACGGAGAGAGACGGTTTGCGCGGCACGGGACCGCAAAATAATAAAAGTGCGTGCTTTCCCATTTTTCGGGCAAAAATATCATCGATTGGCGTTTGCCGTTTGTGCGACGTGATGGGAATGCCGAGGTGCTGAGTGAGAAGTGCCGCTCAAAAATCTGCAGATGTTCTGCTCAAAAATTGCACCCTGGAGAATTTCAGCTGCTTCGATTCGAGTTGCAATCAAAACATTCAATATTTCTGTTTGCGAGACATAAAAGGTCAAAAAATTTATATTTTATTACTGTAAAAAAGTGTGTGATTTTAACTCCTATGGCAATAAAAGCTATAATTTGGAGTAATTAATTAAGCGAATTTTTTCATTATGGGTGCAAGTTGGAAAAATCAGCTATTTAAAAAAAAATTAATTGACAGCTAACACGATATTTTGCCAGAAAAAGGACTAAAATATAGCTTTTATTGTTTTCCAACTTAAGTTTCTATTTGCATTCTTGATTGAACCATTTTCTTTAAACACAGAAAGAATTAATTATCACATAAGAATTTCAAATTTTATTACCCTGTAGATTCGTTTGTGCTTGAGCTCTTTGACTGGCCCTGTTCGCCGAGTACCTCCTCTGCGGCACCTGAATAATTCGCACCGGTGACCACCGGAAGTAATAGGAAGGAGCCCCATGGGGACCAGGCCGTCCTTGGCTCTCGTTTTTCTCCTCGGCAAATTGCTCAGGATCGTAATAATCGTACTCAACGCCTTGGTCGTAGCCGAGTTCAATTTCAGATTGGCTCAGATTCTTGCTCGACGATTCATTTGCAGAGCGCGCGAAACGGCGCCGATTGCAGTTCTGCAATTCCGACTCTTTTAAAAAGACCGGCGTCGGGCAACAAGGATCGACTTTCTAGAAAAATATTAAAAATAGAGACTTTATACAAAAATAATAATAATAATAATTTTAGATTGATCCACATTGAGTGCGATCCAAAAGCTCTAAACGGCCAAATTTAACCTAACATGCAATTTAAATGGTGGAATAAATTATCCAGAACCATCGTCCTGATTATTATAAATAACTATTATTTTTAAATATAATAATAATAATACCTTAAATAAATCCGCAGTGCAGACGAAGCCTGGAATTACCGGTATTGTCGACGGCGACTGTCTTTTTTCTCTAGCTAATAAACCCAGCAGAGTTTTAATTATTGTGCTATTCACTTCAGTTTTTTCCTTCGAAATAACTAATTATTTATGAATTTTTTAATATGATTTTCATTTGAACAAAACAAAACCTCTATCGATAAACGGATTTTCTTCGCCCTCCTCATCTGTGTAAAATTCCAAATTGTCTCTGAAGTCCTCAAAGTTTTCTTCCAAAAGAACGTCAACTTTGTAAACTGCCAAATTTGACAGCATTAAAAACAAATCATGAATGTTTTATTTCGCTCACTTATGTACTCGCTTAGCAGGTAAACGACCGTCAGGAGTCCAAATGAAGCAAACAACCAGCGGTACTTGATCTTTTCCTCGGCCATGTTTAAAAAAAAAATTCACTTGCAATCGGTCGCGCCACTCATTTCCGAAAAAACCAAGGCTGCTCGAAAGGCATTGTTGTTTAAACAGAATTGAAGTCCTGTAGCTGAAAAGTAGGCGCGTAGATCGAAAGTAGGACGGTCGCAAAATGTGGCGAGAGGACACATGGCAAGGGCGATTCACTCATATATTGGACGTCACATCCGTCAATGATGAATACAAAACATTGAGAATTTCATGCTCATAAACAAATTCAAATTTATTTTATTTTTTTTTTTATAAATTCGTCACAAATAAAGTCGGAACCGGTTGAACATGAAAAATAAAGAGAGATTGGAATATGTGTATATAATAATTAGTTGATTATATTAAACTAGATCAAACCACTGTAATTTAAAAATTAAATATGCAGGATTAACTAATAAAAAAATCATAATTTTGTAGGAGAAAACACTTCTTTATTTTATTTATGTAATTAAATGTATTTTATAAACATCAAGCACACTGCACAGCTCACTTGTTTGTAACTTATACAATCAGTAAAAAATTGTTATTTACTAAGGTTAAAAAGTTAAAAATATAGGTAAACAATTTGAATAAATTATTTTTATGTTTTCTTTAATTAAAGCGAGTAAGGATCACATTGGCGCAAAAAGTTTCTGTCCAAGTCACATTGCTGGTCTGAAAGTAAATGAAATTTGCACATACAATTTATAATTTTTATTTAAATTTACTTTGAGCGACAATTCCAGGACAGTAATTGTAAGCCTAATAATTACAGATATAAATATAATTTAAATTTAAAAGACCAGAATAATTAATTTTTACCAAAATCATGGATCTTTTGATGCACCTTAGCAATCTAAACGGCGCGATCATGCACTTTTGTCCGTACATATTAGTCACGTTTGCAGTGAAATCTGAAATAGTTTTATTAAAATTTACATGTCTGTTTATCTAAAAGAAATTAATTAACCTCCAAATGCATTAGACATTCCACTGCATTCTGTTCGGATGTACTGAGTGATCAATAGATTTTGCCATGGCCCGGGCGGAGTCAAAATTTGCATTGTTGAGTACATCAAGTTCTCGTCGACGAAGTTTTCAGGAGTGAGCTGATAATGATTATTTGAGTTATTTAAACGTTTTTGAATAAATTTTAGTCCCTACCCATCTCTGTTGTTTGAAAATACAGTGGACCTTGCACTGAAATCATCAAAATTAATTCTTTTTATCATATTTTTAATCCATTAGAATAGCCTTACAATGTCCTCGATTTTAGATTTGACTAAAACTTTTAAGTTATTTTAAACGTATCATTTTTTAACAATTAGTTTACTTGAAGAATTTTTAGGTGACGATACCAAGAAGTTTTTCCTAAGCCTCAATTGCACAGGACGAATACCTTTCCTCGGGCCTTTCGGTAAAGCAGAAACCAAATTTCGACCAGTGCATTTATTCAAAACGTCCACCGGATAAAGTGTAGGAAGTTTGCAACATTTATCCATTCTCTTGAATTTATAAATTTATATTTTAAAGTGAAAATAAATTTATAAATAAATTTCAATACTCGGTACAATTCCGTGGGACAATTGTAGCCATAAGCAGGCGGTGTTGCTTGCGTTGGAGCGGCCGTGCTGTCTTGACGCTTAAGACGATGATGCTTTTCATCCTCAGCTACAATTTTCAAAGAAGAAAAATATGAACAAAGATTTGCTGTTTAAATCTCACCAAGCAATTTTTCCAGCTCGGAATCACGAGATTTGAAAATGTTCAGCAACGAGTCGATTAAATTTGCTTGCACGAAATGCAAAACGAAAAGAAACACGAAAATATTTCCGAAAACAAATCTGCTGTTGGACTTCATGTTGGTTCGATGGTGCAGCCGTCAGATGTGATATGGACGGACTATCACATCGGAAGTGAAGCAGAACTATGAAGGTTGAAAGACCTGACGGGGAAATAATGTCGAAGGACATGGTCAAATTGAAGCGTCAAATTTTTAATTAGGCCAAGAACTTTTTTGCACCAAGGGCAGCAGGACCCAGGATATGTGTGCTCATTATTTGACCCGTTTTGCTTTCTGGAACCATCCTAATAAGTTTTTTTTAACAGGCCAAATATTGCTTAGTTTGAATTGAAAATTTTTACTTAAAATCGCATATTTCAGACAAGAAAAAATGCCGAAATTAATTAAACTACATCTCAAAACTCGCTATTTGTAAAATCCCAAAAGTTTTAATGAAAGAAATAACACCCCAATGATTTTTTTCCCAAAAATTACTCATTTCAGCCGAAAATAACGAACAATTTTTTGCAATCATCATAAAAAAAATGTTATAAAATACCAAATGTTGTAATATTTCGTTCAAAGCAGTTCATATTAAATTTTATTTCCTTTTTTCAAGCATATGTCACTTTTTTAGGACACTGGTGGATAAATATTAAATGAGAGATTTTCATTATATTTTATTTCAAATAATTTTTATTTCAACCAAGTCTGAAAACTTGAATTGATCTAACCATGTAGTTACACTTTTGTGCTGCAGGAATAAATACAAATTATTAAAATAATTTCATTGTAAACTTATAATTTAAAAAAGTTAAATTTCTTACTAGAGTTATACACTTCAGAGCACCTCTTCAAAAAATATTCACAGTTAAAATAAATTAATCCTATTTCAAATTTAAATTACCTTTGCCATTAACCGTTTTACGCAGGTCATTAAAACAGTAGGCCTTGAAAAGCAGATTCTACCACTGTCAGTTGTGATTTGCAAAGGAGTTCCCTCTAATAATTTAATTTAAATAATTAATTTAATAAATTTATTAATTGCAAAATCTAACTTGATGCAGGATCCATGCATTTGAGGAATGAGTCCTGAGTGACATTTTGCCACAGGTCGCTCTTCACATTGAGCTTGGACAGTTCAGTCATGAATACTTTGTTGCTCTCGTCAAAATTTAGAGTTCCGTTGTCATTAACCTGGTATGTTAAATTTAAAATTTATCAATTAATTAAACAGTTATCATCAATTTTACTAGTTTCAACTGTCGAAAAACACAATCTGAGTAGCACTGTGGATAATGCATGAAGATATTAAGAATAATAAATATTAGGGGAATATTTTATTTTAAGATGATTGTAATTTTTATTGAAATAAAATTTATAATTGTAATAATATTATTTGTGGTTCTGATCCATGAGGCAACAGGTCAAAGGAATGTTATCAGTAGAATTTAGAGATAATATGCAGTCTATTTATTACAAACAAATTTAATTTAATTATTTATTCAATTTTTATTTTTTATAAAAAATTTGAACGTCAAATTGGAGGAATAATAACAACTATTAATAATAAAAAATTTAATTTAATTTATAAATAAAATGACCAATTTTTATGAAGAATCAGACCCACTTACAAATTATCAGCCATAAATTTCTTTTTAATCCGTTAATTTTTGTAATATTACATGTTATTTCATTCATTTTTTGTATCATCTTTGGTATTATCTCGTTTGCTAAAATATTACCATGGCCTGTACGCCAAACGTCTCTGCAGAGTTGTTCATGAGGCAACGTCATTATTCATTGAGCGAGTAGAGATAAATTGTCTAGGTCACTTACGCACACCACGTCTGTACCTCCGGCCGCCGAAAAGTCTCTGGAGAGCTCCGAACAGGCCGATGCCGTCGTCTATTTGTCTGGGCTGAGGCACCGCGGCTGTGTACGCGTCCGACCCCGAGCACGCTTGCAGACTCGACTTTGGCAATATTTGTGGCACCACACAGCAATTTTTCACCCCCTAATTAAATTGTGGCAGTTCTTATTGAAAAAGGCCACATGTGTTTATTTGCCTGACCTGCAACTGCCGCGCGAATTGGCTCAAGTAATCCACTGCGCGTTTCACTCTGTACATTTCAGTCTCGTCTAAAAAGTATAACAAAATTATGAAAAAAATCTTTTTATTGTTTATTCATTAGTTAAAGTGTGAATTTTGGTTCATGCATAATTTATCAAAAACAAATATAAAATAACTATAAGAAATTTAGTCGGCAAAATAATAAATCATAATTTTGAACAAAATAAAATTATATTTTATCATAATTTTTTTAATTAAAAATAGCTATGGTGCCTTTTTGTGCAACAATTCCGTGTTTTCCTATAAAAAAAAATTGTATTATGTAAATTTTATAACGATTTTGACAAAAAAAAAAAATGAAATAAAAACCACAATTTGAAACAATTTTTATTTTAATTTTTTGTTAATTGCAAATAAAATTTTATACCTTCAAATTCTGAAGTATTTAAGTGCGTTTCTAATGACCAGTCAATATTCTCGTGACGCTGAAACGTCACCAAAGTGATCAATGAAAGTGGTAACTAGGAAAAAATATTAGATTTTTATATTAATTCAATGTTAATTATAACGTACGTACTCACAATAATGCTAATTAAGATCACCAGTAAAATCCTTTCGATCGTATCCCCATTAATTGACATTATCAGCCGAGGTCGGATTAAACTAATCTCTATTTATAAAGTAGAATTCCTCTGCTTGAAAATTGCAGCAAACAAATCGAACTGCATATCGACGGAGCAGAATAACGTTTTCACTACTTTCAAGCCAGCATTAGTTTTGACGCTGCGAGCCACGGTTTTACATTATAGGCAGGAAATGGCGCTGCGTCAAATCAGTTGAATGTTTTGCCTGATCAACAGCAGTGAAATTCAAGAAATAATTTTTGAATTTATTAAAAAAATTCATTGCAAATTACGAAAATATAAATTTGTATTTTTTTACATTATTTTAATTCTGACAGTAAGTTTACAGGTAAAATTGCGAGATTTTTAAAAACAAAAAACTATTCTCACTAAGGCTTTTCGTTGAAAAAGTAATGTTTATTTAATTCGTTTATGAAACTTTTTTTACATTTCTCACTTCTTGCATGTTCTTCTTTTGGTAAATTTCAAAGTTTGGTTAAATTTTTAAAATGGGTCTTCTTTAATATAATTTCTCTAAAATTCAGCGCAGAGTTAAATATAAGAACAACAATAAAACCTCTCATTTCACATTTTACTCTATTATGGAATTTGAGAAACTTTAAAAGGCTTTTTATGCTTTATGAAAATTGCGTTACAACATTTTAAACTAAATTTTTTTAGTTGACATATCGCCGAAAAATACATTTTTCACCAGTATATAAAAAATCCAGCGAAATCGACCTTCCAGAATTTTCCTGATTGAAATACATAAAACCGACGAGTTTAAAACTTTTTCACTCAAATCCCTTTACAAGTTACAAGCCACGTGGGTCAACTTGCAAACTTCAGCAAATTTTATTAAAGTGGTTGTCACGCGCCTGATGGAATTTTTATTTATCGCGCACTACAATTTCATCCTCCGAACGTACGTTTGCGCGCGTAGCCAAAACATACATGCATAGATCGTTTAGTCGATGCGGAGCAATAAAAGCAAACAGCCTCCCGTATGATGTTTGCGTCGCGAATAAATGAACTCGGGACGACGCATTTGATATGCAGAGAAGTTTGTGAAAAGCGGCCGAGAGTTGATTTTTGGCAAGAGCGCGCAGATTGGATTTTATGCTCTGGCGCTTGATCGCTGAATTCGATTAGCGATCGCAAACAGACATGACACTCCTAAAATGAGTTTGGCCTACTATTGCAAATAAAATTGACTTTTGTGCACATTGAGTGGCATTTGAACTCATAACGTTTTGGTAAAAAAAGAAACCTTGAAAAATCAGCGATACATTTGTTCTTGGTGCCGGAAATCATCAGTTATATAATTTATTTCTAAGCATGGAATTCCAATTATTTATTAAGAATTTCTGCAGTTTTACTTCTTTTTCAATTTCGCATGAATTAATTTATCAACTTCACTTTTGCAAGAAACTGCAAAATTAATAAAATTTAAAAAAAAAATAGCTCTATAATAAATAGAGCCCGTAACTAGCATTAAAATCATTAAATATACCAGATTAAAGAAACATAAAGGAGAATTTTAACGAACTATTATAAAAATTTTTGAAATAATTAGAAATTAGTAATTTTGAAACAATTTCAAACTAATCTTGAACATAAATTACAAATTTTTTTTTCGATTTAACTTAAATTAATTTAATGTAGAAATTAGTTTCAGGTTTGTAAATAAAACATCTTGTTATTCTTTATAAAATCATACTTTATTATCCGAAAGTCTAACTAAGTTTCTTTGACGTTTTACTACAAAATTTATCAAAAATCAGATTTATTAAAACATTTACAACTTTTAATTCCCGTTTTGTCTTGATTTTATGTTGAAGTTAAAAAATAAACCTATAATCATTTTTATATTAAGAGAAAATTCTTTTTAAAATGCAGAATGAATAATTTTGACAAAACTTAATCCAATGAAGTTTTGGTTCAATAAAAAGATTTAGCTTGATCTCTTTTTTTAAAGCTTGCATGTATTAAGCCATTTTTTTTTGCATGGAGGTAGGCGAGTGAAAGTAAAGAGAGTAAGCAAAGCAGTTTTTACTTTTGTTTTCAAACGTGCAAAATTTAAAAGAACCGACAGAGTGAGATAAGTTTGCCCTCATTAGAGGAACTCGGTGACACACTTGATAAAACCCATGGCACGGCGAGTTGTTATGTTTTCGCGAAAGTGTTCGAGGCCCTGCATCTTGGCGGATTCACATGAGGAAGGGGTAAATTGTGACCCTATCAGTCCAGAGTTATCACAACGCATAAAATAAAAAGATATCGTTCTTCCGGCCCCCTTCGATAATTCCACGAGTGCAGGAGTTGAACGGAATTATATTAAAACTAGGGTCGACACATTGAGCCAGTCAGTCTTCTCCGATCAGCAGGACGAACATGACGTTTTTATTTTTGTTGCCGCTGCTCTTGTCGCTCGGGTTTTTCGGCCAAAGCGCTGCAGAGACGAACAGCGAGAAGAAGCCCAACATCATTTTCATAATTGCTGATGACCTGGTGAGATACAAAGCTAATCCCTCGAGCATTTCAATGTTTACTCATTATTATCCGATATTCCGATCGCTGTGGAAAAAAAGTGTTAAATTCAAATCGATCAAAATCGGTGCAGGGCTGGAACGACGTCGGCTTTCACGGCTCCAATCAGATTCCGACGCCCAACATCGACGCGTTGGCCTATTCAGGGGTCATCTTGAACAATTACTATGTCATGCCTGTCTGCACACCCTCCAGAAGTGCTCTCATGACTGGCAAGCATCCAATTCACACAGGCAAGGATGATGTTATTTCGCATGGCCCGAATTGAAAAGATTGTGCCACTTGAATTTTGTCAATCACTCAATGAAGTCTGACGAGTCTCGTCAACTATATATTCGGAGGGATTTTATTGACAATTTTTTTTTCATTAATGCGGAGGTCATTTTCCATTTCCAATGAATCTTTGTAGGATAATCTTTGGTTAATCTTGGAAAATGATTGATTATTTGAAAAAAGCTTTGAATTTGGATTTTTTTCTATTATTTGTTTTTCTACTAAAAATCTGGCAAATTAAAATAATAATCACTGCGGTGGTTCTGGTCGTCCAGATATTGGAAGTTTTAACAAAATCTTTGCCCTTTTATCAATTGAGTTTTTTTAAACTTTTTTTTTAATTGGAAACAAATAACAATAAAATTGACTTGGAATCACCGCAGTAAAGCTGGATAGTTAAATTTACATATTGACCTTTTTGAACCATTTTTACCTGATAAGCTACCTTAAAATTATTTAAAATTTTGTATGCAGGAATGCAGCACAGGGTGATTTTCGCCAACGAGCCGTACGGTTTGCCATTGGAGGAGAAACTCTTGCCTGAGTATTTGCGCGAGCAAGGCTACAAAAACCACATTGTGGGCAAGTGGCACTTGGGTCACTTCCAAAAAGAGTACACGCCGCTGCACCGAGGGTTCGATTCCCATTTTGGGTACTGGTCTGGACACCAGGACTATTACGACCATACTGCTCAAGAGAGCGTAAGAAATTGGATAAAATTACTCACAATTGATTAAATTCAGAATGCGTAATAGACCAATAAAAGTAATGCAAGGCCAGTAAACACCTGCATGCAATTAGGTCGATATTCCTTAATTGATTCAAATAAAAATATTTAATTCACATTAAACTAAACTTAGTATTAAGAGCAGATGCATATAAATATTCTATGAAACTAAACAAATGCATTAAATTATAATGTAATTTGTTATATTATTTTTATATTTCATTATTTTACTAAAAAAAATTAATAATAAATAAACTAATAAATAAATTATATTATTGAAAAAATATTAATTTCCTAGTTTTTTTATTGTTTTAAAAATTGGCATTAACTTTTACATTTCTTTTGAATTTAAAATTAGCTTATTAAACTTTTAATTATTTTTTATTTAAATTAAGCTAATTAAATTAAGAATATATAAAAGCTAACCAACTATTATAATAGCTATATTACAATTTTAACATTTTTTTTTTTAAATTCACTTTTTATTCTGTGACGAACACAAATAACTTTAATAACGGACGTCGCAATTCATATCTTTTAATTTTACAAAGAAAATAATAAAGACTTTGATTGATCAAATGCCCTTGGCGAAATTGACAAGACAAAAAACTAATTTCAGCTATATTATTGGGGTTACGACATGCGTCGGGGGATGAATGTGTCATACGACAGCAGAGGCAAGTACACAACCACCCTGTTGACGGAAGAGGCTGTCAAAGTTGTGCACCACCACAACACTTCCGAGCCGCTGTTCCTCTACCTGTCTCACTTGGCCACACACTCGGCTAACCCTTACTTGCCCTTACAAGCGCCCGATGACGTTGTGAAAAAATTCAGTTACATCGAGGACAAAAACCGAAGAATATTCGCAGGTGCGATATTTTTTTTATTATTCAAAGTGATATTGAATTTTGTTTATAAAAAAGCCATGCTCTCCCTGCTGGATGAATCAGTGGGCGAGGTGACGAAGGCGTTGAATGAAAAAAACATGCTCAACGACTCGATAATTATTTTCACGACCGACAATGGTGGGCCTGCCGGCGGATTCAATTTGAACGCGGCCAGCAACTGGCCCCTCAGAGGAGTCAAAGATTCGGTGAGAATAAATTGTATTTTAAATTGTTATTGATTTATATTATTAAGAAAATGATAAAAAAATCAATTAAGTAGCTAATTTCAATTGTTAAAATGCAATTACATTGTTAATTAATATATATTTTTTTTAAATATTTAATTTTAATTTTTCAAAATATCAAATCTTGTTTATCAGCTCTGGGAAGGAGGAGTTCGCGGTGCTGCCCTGATTTGGAGTCCGTTAATAAAAAACACGCCGCGCGTTTCGCACCAACTAATGCACATTCAAGACTGGTTGCCTACTTTGCTGAGCGCCATTGGCGATAAAGGCGCAGTTTCTGATGAAATTGACGGTCAAGACGTTTGGGAGGCCATCAATGACCCTGAGAAGGGCACTTACGACGACCTGCTTCTCGTCATAGACAATCAGAGAAACCTCTCTGCCTTAATTAAACGGAAAGATGAGGAAATGTGGAAACTGTCGCAAGGTTAGATTTTTGATAAAATCTATCAATTTTTTTTTTTTTAAATTTTGGCGCAGGAACGATAATGGATGGTAAATTTGACAAGAGAATCGGACCTGACGGCAGAGATTACAAATACGACTGGGAAGGTTTGAAAAATGGCTTTGTGGCTCAAGCCATTAAAAAAACTAAATGCGCTCTGCCTACTATCAAAAACATCGAAACAATGAGACAGAAATCCCAAATCTATTGTTCAAAAGTATAAGTCAATAATTTAAATCATTTGGGAATCTCAAATTTTAATTGAATTGCAGAAAAATAATCTAAATGTGTCCGAGAGTCGAAGGTGTCGCCCAGAATGGGGAGAAATTTGCTTATTCAATTTAGACGACGACCCGTGCGAATTGAATAATTTGGCCAAGGAGCAGCCAAACATTGTCAAGGAGATGTTGGAGTTGCTCCAAAAATTCAACGACACTCTTGTTCCTCCAAGAAACCAACCTCGCGACCCAGCCAGCAACCCAAAGTAAAATTTAATTGATCTGTGAATTTTATGCAAATGGTTATATAAATTTTTAAGGTGCTGGGACAACGTTTGGCTCAATTGGATGGACTATCCAAAACCAATCGCATGCCAATCTCAATGAAAATAAACTGCTAAATGTAATGGACAGGTTTATAAGTTTTTATACTAAATTGTAATAAAAAGTTGGAGATTTTTATTATACATAAATAATGATAATTTATTTTTACAAAAAATCCATTCGTCATTCATGCTTTTATCACTTCAAATTTGCAATCATTACACAATAAAAGTTACACCATTTTTAATTACTGTCATCGGGAATGGAAATTTGGAAATAATTTATAAATAAGTAGAGGACCTTTAAATGTTATTCAGTCTTCAGGATCTTGCCACTCGAAACGAAGGGCAAAAATCCAAGGACTAAAATTAATATTGGCTTCGGAATGAAACATCTGAACTTGTAAAACATCGACGAGAACAACGATTCTCTAAAAAAGTAAAAAAAAGGTTGACTCACTTAAGCTGGTCTTGTTCGAATCAGTTTAGACAAAATAGGAGAAGACCAAGCTCAGTTGGCAGTCACGTTGATGGTGGTTGCCGGCCGCCACATGAGGCCTCTCTTGAGACTGTTCAGCGAGCCGCCGGCCACTTTGAAGGTGATGATAGTGGTGACGATCAAAATCAAGTAAATTCCAACCAGGGTGAGCACGTAGTGCTGGTTCTGGTTGAGCAGGGTGATGCAGGAGGTGACCAGATGGGCCGCAACCACAAAGACCACCTGCCAGATGACCTTGTGGTCCAGGGCGGAGAAGAAGATGACACCCCAGAAGGTGTGAAGCAAGATGAAGCACAGGGTGGTGGCCGCCGAGATGACCAAAAAGTATTCCGAGCCGTCGTACAGGTCCATCGTGCCTGGACCTGTGGCGTCGGCCAAGACGTCGACCAACGAAAAGGCTCCACTCATCAAACCAAAGCCAAGCCCGGAGACGTAGGCTAGCACCTGAGGATTTAATTTAAATTTAATTATTTACATAAAAGAAAAAAATTGACGAAAAGCTTGCCTGTCGATTATTTGTGACGTGCGTCTCCTCTTCGGACACCCTTCTGAGGCCAAACTCGGCCTTTCTCAGGAGCATGTAGAACAGGAGTCGGAACAGTTCTTGGAAAAACACCGAGAACACCAGACCAAAGACGAGCACCGTCCGCAGGGGTATCACCACAAACCACAGAATGGATGACAGGAGCAGAGAGACGAGCCAGAAAAAGGCGCTGGCGATCATGATGATGATTCTGATCGGATCTTTGGCGATGGTGATGGCGAACATGGCCAGCGGAGGTCCAAACGCCAGGAAGGAACACCCGAAAAATTCCATCACCGTCATCTTGAAGGTATTTTGCGTGTCTGCAATGGTACATAAATATTAATTTTAATCCGGTTAATTTGTTCTGGAGTTTGTTGATGCGATTCATAGAAATGTAGCAATCAGCAAATTGAGAAAATTTCGGCTCACCTTCCGAAGGAATTGGACAGATAATTATTGTAATCTATTAATTACGGATTAAAATCTGTAAAATTTACAAACTTCTGCAAATTGATAATGGAGAAATTTCCACCTTTTCTCATAAATTTTATCTTGCCTTTTTCGGTGTTTGTATTAAAGTTTTCTTCTCCTCCCCGCAGGTGGCAGCACGTGCGATTTGCAAAATGATAACAAAGGGGCGTGGCTATAATCTTGTTTAGCAAAGCCGGTGGTTTAGTGAATGTCAAACTTTGTAATTAAAATTCGTAAAATTCCGTCGTTAGATATTACATAGATTTGCGGGGATGACAAAAAATTGTCTCGAGTTTATTTGAGAACGTTTTATGTAAATCGTTCCTTCGTCGTTTCGAGAAAATTTTAAAAACCTAATCGATAATGTGATTGAGATTTTTGCCTTGCAGCTAACATTTTAAACTGGTTTGTTTAATGAAAAAAAAATATATTATAATTATATATTTTTAATTTATTAAATCCTTTTTGTGACTAGTTTTTATTTTAAAACTTTCCAGAGAAACTAACAATGAAGCAGCGAAGACGATGGATGCGAATGCAGTACGTCTTCTTTGGGGTCGTCGCTCTTGGAATCGCCTTCATCCTCTGGCAGTTTGTGGGCGCTCACTACATTGCCCAGCAAGAAGTGCTTAGCCACGCAAAGATCGTCTATCAGAACACACTCCAAGAAGAGTAAAATGGCAAATTCAATAATACAATTTAAACAAAAGTTTGTCTCATTTCAGAGCTCTGCAAAATTTTGCCATTCAAAAGAAAATTAACCTGCTGCGTGGATCTCGAGTTCAAGACATTATGCACTACAGACCTGACAAAGACGGCAAATTCAAATGCATCGAGTCTGGCTTGCTCATTGATTTCATAAAAGTAAATGACGACTATTGCGACTGTCCGAGAGACGGAAGTGACGAGCCGGGAACCAGCGCGTGCAGTGAAAATGGCAGATTTTTTTGCACGTTCAACCAAAGAGCGTCCAAACCTGGTAATTTATTATTCTTTTCAAAAAATGGAATTTTGACTGAAAAAATTAATAATCATAAGATGTATGGGTGCCTTCGGGTCGAGTTAACGATGGAATATGTGATTGCTGTGATGGTTCTGACGAATGGCAAAACAAAACTGTTTTGCCCCGACTGAAATTATCAGGTACATTTTTAAAAGGCTTGCTTTGTCACGAATTATGAATTTATTCCTAACTTTTATTTTGTAGAAAGTGACCAGCAGAAGTTTCATGTATATCAAACACCGTGCGCCTTCAGGTGTTTCTAGTTATCACACCAATTTTTTCTTTTATATTGTGAGATTCAAATTTTAATAAATCTAAATCCCACCAATCCACTACAATTAAAAAATCTGCAGTTCTTATTTGCTTTTTTATTTGTAATGATGATTTAAGGTTTAGAAAATATGAATTGCATTACCCTATTTTTTTAGAGCACCTGAATACTGAAAATAATTTTAGTATAATATTTATTAGAATAATAGTAATTTATTTTGTATCTATAAAATAAGCGCTATAGTTATGGCCAGCATGTATTTTTATTTATGGGAAATGTTCACAGTTCACAATATTTTCTTTTCTCAATTTTTCCAAAGTTAATTTAATCATTTGAAATCATTTTTTTTTTTTTACAAAATGCACTTGTAATATATTTGATTTGTTCATTTTTTTTCATAGAAAATAAAGGACGACAGTAAAAGGCAAGAGGATTGTGTTGGTATTATCTAATATTTATAAATAATTAATTTTATTTTTGAAAAAACTGCAACTGGGAACACAAAAGTGCAAGGCAAGGCATCACGCGTGCGGCGCGCGCGTACATTTCAAATCAAACATTTGCCGCCCTTCGCCATTCATGAACAGCCGGCCGATGAAATCACAAACATGAACTTAGATTTTACTTTAATTTTAACCACTTTTCTTTTCTAATTGTTACTGATCATAACTTTCATGAAACTTCTGAATCGCTGCAGGTATTTGTGACTCCAATTAATACGGTAATATTATTTTTTAATCCCACTGCATCAAGCATCAAAGTCATGATAATTTTTTTGCAGTGTTATGTCAACAAACTATTTTATGTCTGAGTCTGACAACAACAGAGAATCAAGAAGTGGAATTGATTCTGATTCTACCTGCGAAAGTGACTTCAGCTTGGACGAAGTTGTAACAATTAAAGTTGAGATCGACCCTTACGACTTGCACCAAGTTGAAAGCAACACATCATATCATGATCATGACAGTTCTCCGTTAAAAGGACAAGGACCAAACTCACATTATTCAGACTTGACTATCCCAGGTAAACTTTTTATTATTCTACAGCTAATTAGTATGTTATTTTATAACTGAAATCGTTCTATATTTTATAGCCATTATTAATATTAATTTTGCTGTGAAATTATTTTTTTAGATGTGTTATCTACAGAAATGGAAATGCTCAGAAACCTGGTTTGTACGACTTGTGGGAGATTATTTGATTCAAGTTATGAATTGTATCAGCATAAACTAGAGTGTCAAGTGAAAACAAAAGTTCCAGGTATTTTGACTTTTCAAGCAATTATATTACAATACATAAATGTAATTTTAAAAAATCTGCAGGTGTTGTTGACCCCATCAAGTGTTCAAGCAGACCCACTAGATCTTGTGCTGCAAAAATTAAAATGTGTGAAGACAGCCAATTGAAAAAACAATCTCCCCGTGATCATGTCAAAGTTCAGAAGAAATCCATGAAGCGTTCTCATGATAAAGATGTAAGTTCAAAAGGAAAGAAACCTAGAGGGAAGTTAAAGGTTGAAGAAGAAGAAGATGATGAGATAAGCCTTTTAGAAAATACTCCCAAAGAGAAATTTTTTGTGTCATCTTATGCAGCTGAACCCAAGCAGTGGCAAAAAGGGAAGGTAATTGCTCATTACGAATGCCCAAAGTGCTTAAAACGCTTTGTTGGATTCTCGAAGTTGAAAAGACATTTAAGAGCACATCGCAATGAGGAATCAAAGAAGTTTACTTGCAATGTCTGCGGTAGTGCCTTCACCTTGAACTATAATCTGACTGCCCATATGAAGAGGTATCACACACAAGGAGATGCGCCACAAAAATGCCAAACACAATATAATGACTTTATTTGCAATGAGTGCAACCTAGGTTTTAAAGTGAAGAGTAGACTCGAGCATCATATGACACGCCTACATTCCTGCTGATTTACCAATTTTAATTACATACATAAATGCATTTTTGAACTTACGTCTTTTGACGTCAACACAGATGACTGATTAATTAAAAAATTTTAAACGATTTTAAATTCAATTAATGATTTCTATAAACATTTTTCAGTGAAATAAATTTGGTAAAATTATTACATAGTAAAATTGTCCTCTAATTTTAATTACATTTTCGTAGCATGAATTTTATTGTTAAGCAGCAGAAGATACTATCTACATATAATATTCTGCCTTAATGATTTGCCTCCAGCTCTCCGTATTTCCTGATGTGCAAACATGAATGTTCTTTCTTCGTCTATTTTGGGTGTTTATGTACATAAGTTATCTGTAAAAATTAAAAAAATAAAATTCATTAATTCCGTAGTAAACATAAAAAACTAGATCATACCACAAATATTAAGGAGTAAGTTCATCCAGTTTTTCTCTGCCTTCCAATAAAAGCTGTTTCTGCGCTTCCAGTTCCTTCGATTTCTGCTGGGGCCGGATTACACTGAAGTACCTCTCAGCCCGCAGGCCGATCAGGTAAATTCCATACACTGTGATTCCCACGCAGGAAACGACGAACCCCTTGTGGAAAAGGTCGAGGAACGCACTGGCCTTTGGCTTGCGATACATTTAATTATTATGTAATTACGACAGGCTTTTAAATATTTTTGAAAGAAATGTGTTTTCTTGCTTGGTTTGTTTTGGTTTGCTCAAAAGTGACTCAATGCTGACAACTCCTGAAATCAAATAAATGCATTTGATTTAATTTAAATGGCAGTAACTTCTATTAGTTTCATTAATTTTAGTAAAATTTAAATGAAAAATTGCAGTTTATCATTCACTTAGGCATTAAATTCAAAATTAGATAAAGAAATTAAGGCCTAAAATTTCTGCAAAGGTTGGTATGAAACAACTTTTCACTCGTAAGTACATCGCGCCTAAAAATTGAGGCAAAAACAAAAGCAGCACACTTTGCGCAAATTCATCGGCCATGTTTTTTATCCCCCCCTCCCTCGCCCTGCGCCGGCGTAATCGGCGTATTTTGTGGAGTTTTGGACAACAATCTCGATCCATGCCGCTTTCCAGCGGCTTTTTCGACGAACTTTTTCCTCTGCCTCAAAGAATTAAATAATTAATTCATTGGAATCTGAGACGTTCACAAAGAAAGAGAAATGTCCACCCACCAGTACGTGGTCACAGCTCACAAACCGACGGCGGTGACGGCCTGTGTTACAGGTAATGAAAATCGTCTCGTTCACTCATCAAAACAATATTGACGCAATTTTTGTAGGAAATTTTACCTCTCCAACGGATCTGAATCTGATCCTTGCTAAAAACAACAGGCTTGAGTTTTATGTTGTGACTCCAGAAGGGCTGAGGGCGCTGAAAGAAATATGCATCTACGGCAAAGTTTGTGTCATGAAGTTCTTCCGACCAAAGGTCTGACACCAAAACATTGAATTGGGCTGTATTTATTTTAAAGTTTGCTTGGTCTACAGAACGAGAAAAAAGACCTTCTTTTCATCCTGACTGCCAGGTACAATGCCATGATCTTGGAGGCAATTGGAGAGGGTGACAATTTAGAGATTAAAACTAAAGCACACGGAAATGTCGCTGACAAAATAGGAAAGCCTTCGGAGACGGGCATCCTGGCCATCATTGATCCAGAGGCCAGAGCCATCGGATTGAGGCTGTACGACGGTCTTTTCAAAATTATTCCACTTGAGAGAGATTGTGTTGAGCTAAAAGCGACCAGCATTAGGTAAAGTATCGATTAAATATTAAAAAAAAAAAAAAAAAACAATCGGACTTCATTTTCTGGTTTACTAGGATGGAGGAAATTCAAATCCGTGACATGGAGTTTTTACATGGCTGTCCTTTGCCAACTGTTATACTTATCCACGAGGACCACAATGGCAGGCACATCAAGACCCACGAAATTTCGTTAAAGGATAAAGAATTTGTCAAGGTTTGAATATCAAATTTTCAAAGTTAAAATTGCAATATAATTTAATAAATATTTAGACTCCATGGAAGCAGGACAATATAGACTCAGACGCATCTCTTATCATCCCAGTTCCTGAGCCTTGTGGTGGTGCCATCATTGTTGGTCAGGAGACAATCCTCTACCACGATGGCTCAAAATACATTGCAGTCACCCCTCCAGTTATAAAGGTAAACAAATTGTTAAAAAAGCTTACATCCTTTTAAATAAAATTGGAATTTTTAGCAAAGCACAATGAGCTGCTACGCCAGAGTTGATGCCGATGGCGGAAGATATCTCTTGGGTGACATGTCTGGCAAGCTGATGCTGCTTCTCCTTGAAAAGGAGGAAAAAATGGATGGAGCGGTTGTTGTGAAGGACCTAAAAATTGAGGTCTTGGGTTAGTTCTTCTTATGAAACCATATTTTAGTATTATTAATAAATATAATCAATGGTACTGCAGGTGAGATTTCTATTCCCGAGTGTATCACGTATTTGGATAACGGAGTTGTCTTCGTTGGATCACGACTTGGCGATTCACAGCTGATAAAGCTCAACACCAAGCCAGTCACTAAAAACTCGTATCTCTCTGTCATGGAAACTTTTACCAATCTTGCTCCAATCACTGACATGGTTGTTGTTGATCTGGAAAAGCAGGGCCAGGGTCAACTCGTAACTTGCTCAGGTAAAAATGAGAGTAAATTCATTTGACCGGATTTAATGCTATTATTTTCTATGAAGGTGCATTCAAAGAGGGATCTCTGAGAATTATTAGAAATGGCATTGGCATACAAGAGCTTGCGTCCATTGACCTCCACGGTATCAAGGGCATGTGGCCTCTCAAGATGGGACTATCAAAAGAATTTGACAATACCCTAGTTCTCTCATTCGTACAACAGACCAGGTTAGTTTGTATACTGATTTGGTCGGAAGTGGAAAGAAACATTTAAATTTTAGGGTGCTGTCATTGAACGGAGATGAAGTGTCTGAGACGGAAATTGCTGGATTCCAGTCTGACTGCCAAACTTTCTTTTGTGGAAATGTCTCCCACAATCAAGTTCTCCAAATTACCTCCCACTCTGCTAGGCTTGTTGCTACGGACACAAAGGAACTCATCTAGTAAGTGTCTCTTTGTTTCTTAGACAGAAAAAATTAATAATCGGAAATTTTTAGCCAATGGAAACCACCCACTGAGAAAAATATCAGCGTTGTAGCAAGTAACAAAGTTCAGATTTTGTGTGCAACTGGAAACGACCTGTACTATTTAGAGATAGGGGATAAAATTATTGACCAGAAAGCGTAAGGCGTTTGCATAGTCAATATTTAAGCTTTTAACTTTTGATATTATAGTCATACCGTTTTGGTGAACGAAGTGGCTTGCCTGGACATTTCCCTGCTTGAGCCAGGGACAGAAAGAGCTTCAATTGCTGCTGTTGGTCTCTGGTCCGACATCTCCGCCAGAGTTCTTAAGCTTCCTTCACTTGAGGAACTGAACAAAGAGTTTTTGGGGGGAGGTAACATTCGCTTAAAATTTATTATCATTATTTTTCACTTGGAAAATTTTCAGAAATCATCCCACGCTCCATCCTGGTTGCATGCTTTGATGGCATCAACTACTTGCTGTGTGCTCTAGGTGATGGTTCAATGTACTATTTTATTCTGAACAAAGAAACTGGTGTCATGACCGACAAGAAAAGGGTATTTTTTTTCTTAACATTTTTTTCAACTGAGTATAAATGCTCCTTTAATTCAGGTCACCCTTGGTACTCAACCAACAGTGCTGCGCACTTTTGGTTCGAATGCCAGCAGCACCAACGTCTTTGCCTGTTCGGACAGACCCACGGTCATCTATAGCTCCAATCACAAGCTGGTGTTCTCAAATGTAAACTTGAAGGAGGTCAACCACATGTGCTCTTTGCATGCTGAAGCTTACCCGGCCAGTTTAGCCCTTTGTACCGATAGCACCATGACCTTTGGCACCATCGATGAAATCCAAAAACTGCACATCCGAACCGTTCCTTTGGGAGAGTCGCCTCGCCGCATCGCCTATCAAGAATCTTCACAGACCTTTGGAGTTGTGACAATGAGACTGGACGTAATGCGTGCTAATGGCCTCCAGATTGCTCGAAGCAGTGCTAGCACGATGGCGGTCAACACCAGTAGCTCAGCAGCGGCCGTTTTCAAAGGCGGAGTAGCGTCGATGCCTGCCCTTGACATTGGACAAGAGACGGAGGTGCACAACCTGCTTGTGGTTGATCAGCACACATTTGAAGTCCATCATTGTCACCAGCTAATGCCTTCAGAGTATGCCATCAGTCTTGTTTCGGCACGCTTGGGTGACGACCCGAGGACGTACTACATTGTGGGCACTGCCCTGGTCAATCCGGAAGAGAGCGAGCCAAAGGCAGGACGGATTGTGGTGTTTTTGTTTGAAGATGGAAAACTGACGCAGGTGTCCGAGAAGGAGATCAAAGGCGCCTGCTATTCTCTCATAGAGTTCAATGGTAAACTGCTGGCGGCCATCAACAGCACGGTTCGATTGTTTGAGTGGACCAACGAGAGAGAGTTGAGACTGGAGTGCAGTCACTTCAATAACATAATTGCACTCTTCCTGAAAGCCAAAGGCGACTTCATTCTGGTTGGCGATTTGATGAGATCCATGACTCTTCTTCAATACAAAACAATGGAGGGAAATTTTGAGGAGGTAATTAGGAAACTTTTAATTGTAACAAGCCCTATTAAAATTTGACTCTAGATTGCCCGAGACTTCCACCCCAACTGGATGACTGCTGTAGAAATCATCGATGATGATACCTTTTTGGGCGGTGAAAATTCCTTCAATTTGTTTGTTTGCCAGAAAGATAGGTTTGTTTTGTTTAACTCATATTTTATTGCTGGAAATAATACAATAAATTCTCTGCAGTGCTGCCACAGCTGATGAAGATCGGCAGCAAATGATAGAATGCGGACTGTTCCACGTCGGTGACATGGTCAATGTTTTCCGACATGGTTCTCTAACAATGCAGCATGTCTTTGAAACCTCTGTCCCAACCCATGGATGCATCCTCTATGGCACAGTAAATGGTTCAATTGGTAAGAGGCTTTAAATGATCGATTTGAAAATTACTAACTGAGTGACATTATTACAGGTCTCGTAACTCAGGTGCCTCAGGAGTTCTACGAATTCCTCTCTGCACTTCAGTCACGCTTGGTCACTGCTATTAAGTCTGTTGGAAAAATTGACCACTCATTCTGGCGCAGCTTTAATAATGAGGTCAAGATGGAACCCAGTGAAAACTTTATTGATGGAGATTTGATCGAAAGCTTCTTAGACTTGCCGAGAGAAACAATGCAAAAAGTTTGCACTGGTCTCCAGGTATGGCATGCCTTTTTTACATGTTCAGGGGAAATAATTAAAGATTTTTTTCCAGAGAGATGCAACTGGAAGTGGTACGAAGCAAGATGTCACGGTCGATGAATTGGTGAAGATTGTGGAGGATTTAACTCGTATTCACTAAATTGCGTCTATAATTTTTTATTTTAAGTCTTACAGTGTGTAAAAATAAATCATAGTAAACGTATTTTTCAAGCAGATTTATTTGCATTGCTTTTAGCCTTTTTCTTTCCCCGAAGCCACTCGATGATTTCTTCTGCGCCTTCTCCTGTCATCGCACTTGCTTCCAGTACAGTAATTTCTCGTCCTAGTTCCTTCTTCAGCCTGGCCATTTGAAGCATTAACAAAGCCTCATTCCGCATTTGTCTGTAGGACACGTCCATCTTAGTGAGCACAAGTAAAATCTAAAAAATATCTATTTAGCTAGCAAACAATTTAAGTATTTTTAATTATAACCCTAGCTCTTTTCAGAAGAGGATCAGCTAAAATTCCATACAACATTGTCCCTGCTGCAGCAATCTGGCACAGGTTACTGGTGTCCACAACATACATTATTTCTGATGTGCCGTTGAAATAATTTTTCCAAATTGGAGCCATTGAGCCGCCAACTTCTCTGACCGTTATTTCAGTGTAGGGTTCGTCGTTGAGTTTGATTTTTGCCAGATTGATTCCCACTGTGGGAGTTGGGTTCGACGTAATGTCAATTATTTCTTGATTTTGCAGTCGCTTCAATAACAAAGTTTTTCCACTTCCTTGGGGCCCCAAGCATAAACACATTTTTTCCTGATCTGTGATTAAAAATATCAAAAATACAACTTGTATTTGTGCCAAAAAAATTGGATAAAATTAATAAAATCCCAGAAGGAGAAAAAGAGATATTTTGCTGCAAATAGAAATTCCTTAAATAAAACGAGGTCTCGTTTCAGCTCACCAGTGGAAAGTTAAACAAATTTTAATTGTATTAAATAGGAAATGTTGTCATAGCTACGCAGCAGTCGCACGTGTGCGCGATTTCTTGCCGCCAAACGACCCAGAATGCAGATTCCAGGAAAAAACCAATATGGCGACCTGCGCATACCAGCTGCAGTCATAATAATGACGAGGTCACTTGATTTTTGCATAATTCACCTGGATATCTCTTAAATTATGGTAATTACTAGCCCTAGATTGGGAACCAGTACTTTTTAAAGATATGGCCCCTTTCAAGGGATTCCCTAAATCCATCGTTTTGGAAAATTCCACTCTGAAATTGCTCGTTTTGTAATTATTGTGCACCATAAAGTGGGTGGTGTCCTTTGTAATCCGTATTGACACTTTTTATCACGTACTGACGATATCATCACATTTTTCAGCTTTAAATTGCCATCTGGGAAAAGATGTCGAATTTAATTCCTCCGATTCTATCGACAACACCACCACCTCTGCCCGACATTCCTGACGACGACGATGACTTTGGTGACTTTGCAGTTGCGGACGATCCTTTCCATACGGACTGCGAGGTCTCCGAGCCAGTGGGTATGTAATTTTGCAGAATTCCTTCAAGTGCCAGCAATGCACGTACATAAAATACACAAAAATATTATTAAATTATATAATTTTTCACATTAGGTGGAGAGGGGATTCCGTGGAGTGACGAGAGTTTGAAGAAAAGCACGGACAGAACGAGCCAAGATTCGGTCCTCTCAGCAAATTCTGACTCTGGTCTGTGCAGTGACAGCTCGCCACTTCCCATCATTGAGAATAATTGTGATCACCAAGCCCTAAACTGTGATGTGCCTTCGAGTGAAATAATTCCGCAAGCACAATGTGATTTGCCAAAGACAAGTACAAACGGTGAAATTGAAATTGCCTCGTCCAGCGACATTGTCAATTCAAAGGATGGTGACTTGGGCATCCAATTAGATGACCTGGCAGTTGCTTGTGAACATCAAGATGTGGAAGAGAAATGTGAAATTAGCAACAATTTACAAGAGCCAATTTTTATCGAAAACTCTGGTGCGAGCCAATTTCCTGAGGTGAACAGTTTAGAATCAAACTTTGAGACGCAAACTTTAAAAGACCCAGTAACGATAGCTGAGAGTGAAAACAAATTTGCCATAGATTGGGACAGTATCAATGAAGAACCTGTAAACAAACATGTCAAAGAGGTCTCTAAAGAGATTTATAATTTTGAACCCAAACTTCCAAGTCCTGAGCACAATGACTTAAAAAATGAAGAGGATAGACTTTCGGATGAAAATATTGAATTTTCGACCCAGCCAAGTACTGCTTGTGTAGATTTTAAAAATGAGAAAGATTGGCCCAAGAGAAATGGAATTTGTGCAGATGATGAGGTTGTTTCAAACCAGGACGATTTTGAAAAACTGGAAGTCAATTGTACTCTTTCTTCCGAGGCTGAAAGCAATCAGGTTCCTTTGGTAGATAATTGGGACGGTCTTAAAACAGAAGTTGAAAATGTAACTGAACAACCGCCGTCAATTCAAGACGACATAGAATTTGATTTGTCCACCAAAGACGAAGAAACGACTGAAAGCTTTGGCTCACTAGATGAGAGGCCGCAGAGCCAAAACAGTGACGGATTCAGAATTTTTGAGAGTGCTAAACAATTATCATCAGACATTAACGATTCCGCCACGGCCAGCAATGCCCAGGATGACGAAGACTTTGGAAACTTTGCTGGTTTTGAAGATTCAACAGACTTCAAAGCATTTCAATCGGAGGCTGATTCAGATTTTGTAGCATTTAAAGAATTTTCCTCGACGACAGCAGCCGACGATAACTGGGTCATGCTCGAAGAAAATGTAAATAATAATTTTAATAACTATCAAATTTTTCATGCAATGCGTGATTTATTTCAGACCAACAATCTCCCGACTGCTATTGAAGAAGACGATTTTGGAGATTTTGAAGAGGCAGATGACCAATTTGAGTTTTCTAACCCTGTTGATGATGTGCTCGACGAAGATACAAAGTCGGAGTCAATTGATTTTTATAGTCAACCTGCTAAGGTATTATTTTGATTTAACCTAAAAAAAATTGATTTTTATTAATATGAAATAAATTTATTTGCAGATTAAAGAAATAGTTGAAAGTATTTTTGACAGCGAGACTCAACTTGATTTGCCGCAAGCTCTAAGCCCGCTCAGTACACACCTGAAACACTTATGGCCCGAAATCCAAGACGTCCAAAATACTCCTGCCCTAGAGTTTCTGTGGAACAACTCAAAGAGCCACGACCAGATGCTTTCTTCTCTTGGAATTGATACTAGAAATATTGTATGTATTTTTTACTTTTCCTTCCTTTGCAGAATCCCTTATTTTATTTTGTTCATTTGTAGCTGTTCGGACACCAATGGAATAGCTCCATGCCCAGATTTGCCGCTAATTTGGGGCACAATCCTTTAGAACCTACAAAAGCCACAGATTCCCTGTTAGCAGCTAACTCTGTTGTTCAAGAGGTAAATCTGAATTGAAAATTGCAATACGGTGAATATTTATGTTGAAAAATAGCAGGATAGTGTACCCGCGGCACAATTTGACTGGAACGGCAGTGGTCTAGTGAATCCCTTAGATTGTAAGTTTGAGCGATGCATTTTTATTAGTTTTTATTTTATCTGGTTTCATATTTGGAATTCTGTTCTTGGTCTTATTTGCTTTTGAAAATAATAATATTAATGCACAAAGACGCACTAACTTTTAACAATTTGTGGTTTATTGGTATTTTCACTTTATTTACGTGGTTCAAGCTTGTTGGTACTTTGCTAACTTTCTGCTGCCTTTTTCTCCTCTTCAGCAAATCTGCTGCTTAATATAGATCTCCTGTGGGATCAGCCTAGTAAGTCGCTTGTTCACAAAATAGAGACCAGCATTAATGACGTTGCCTAACCATTTTGTCTTTTGCAGGCAAAGGCAAGTCTGAAAAGAAATCATTGAGTGCAGCTGCCCAGAAGGTCCTCTCAAGCTTACCAGATCTCTCCTACATGAGAGCCTCAAACTTGCCTCACTCGTAAGTTTGTCAGGTTGTCTAAAAAATTGCTGATTTCAATTCGAGTGAGGCTAAACAAACACTGAAAGCACCCATGTTCATAATACTTGTCTCTCGTGAATGCCTTCTGTGCATCAACCTGAATTATACATTCCATTGCTAATTAATTATTGTCGTCAAGTGTAATTGTGATTGAGTGGCAAAGTACTTCTTATTTATCAATAAATGATATTATATGTTAAATTTTAAAAGAGATTGGTGTTTCCTGAGAAAACTACAAAAGTTGATATAATTGATAATGAGAAAACTCAAGGAAAAATGCTATTTTATACCGAGTTGCGAATTTTCAATTTATTTTATATACGTCATTTAGGTACAAATCAACACGTTTTGATCAAAAGCTTTCTTCCATTAATATAAATTTAGTCAAGACAACTAGCTTAACCTATTTCAATATGGATAGATTACAAATGCATAGTGCCAAATTATATTTGTGGCGCATTATCATACAAATAGCATAGAGTAGAAAATGGTGCCTGCACAAAGGATGATTTAATGTCCAATTTCGACGGAACAACAGGCACCTCACAAAATATTAAATAAATGCAGTCAATTAACATAATGGAATCAAAAGATTAATTTGATGATATTTATATATAAAAAAGACTACGCATCATCCAATTCAATAAACACAACGCCTTCAATGAAGTAAAATATTTGCTTCCAACGTTGCATAATCATGATCTGCAAATAGTAGTAAAGTTAGAATATGTGAAACCACAACAATACGGAGTATATATAAATTTAAATCACAGAAAGCATTAATAGCAAGCTTTCCTAAACATTGAACACCATATTTAACCGTTATTCTAGTCATCAAATTGAAAGTTATTAACATAATCGTCACTATCTGGGGAGTTGTTTCCTCCACCGTCCTGATCGTCATTATTGGGCCTTGTCGACGGGCCTGCTCCGGATTGATCCCCTTCCGCAGAGGTTCCTGCTGCTTCAGACCTTTTCGCAGACTTTTCATTTTTCCTCTGCTGCTTGATCTCCTTCTTTAGTGCCTTGAAGCCTTTGTGGTTTTCAATCAACGCGTTGAACCTGTTGTTCAAAAAGAGCATGTGCTCCTCCAGTTCGGCCGAGTCTTTGGCTTCCTCTTTCAACTTTTTGATAATTGTGTACATCTTCTTGAAGTTGCTTATCTCGATGTTGCCTGGTTCGCCCATGGGGTTGAGTAAACGACTGTTTTCCAGCATGTCCATAGCACGGTGGCACCTCTCAATCGAGTACCTCGCCCTGTCCAAGGGTGGCAACCTCCGAGCAGCGTCAGTGGTAAGACGAGGAGTCTCCCGGAAAGGAAGAGTGGCAAAAAACGCGCCAGCTCGTTGGGCTGGTGTCTGAGGCACTGGTGGAGCTGGTGCTGGAGGCTCCACTGGTTGCTCTGGGAAGAGGTTGTGTCGCACTTGCCTCGGTGCGTTGTTGGCTGCAGCCTGCTGTTGCTGGTTTTGGGCTCGGACTGCAGTTGGATTTCGAACCTCCACCTCAACCCGATACGAAAACGTTCCGTCCTGGTGGTTGATTCTCCGCAGAGGTCGGAATGCTTCGTTGGCTAAAGGCACGTGCATTTGAGGAGGAGGAGGTTGAGGAGCATTCTGAGGCGCAGCTCGGAATATGCGCCAGTTGGGATTTCCCATCCCAGGGAACTGCATATTCAAGCCTTGCACCTGGTAGCCTCCAGCTCTATCGGCAGGATCAAAGTAGATACGCAAACCAGCCTGATGCGGGGGAGCGACGTTCGCGCGTCGTTCCTGCCCAATGCGCCGATCTTGCCGGACTTGAACCAGTCGGCGCACAATTTGGCGTCTGATCATTTCTTCTCGGATCGCGCGTTGTTGGTTGGCTAGGGCATTGTACACTTCATAGGGAGTGTTGAACTGCACAGCGTTCTGCACATTTGCTGGAGGATTGCCGCCGTTGACGTTCCTCAGCTCGTTTTCTGTCAGTTCTATCAGTCTTCGGAGTCTGTTGAGAGCATTGCGCTGCTGATCTTGGTTTTGGTGTTGTCCGGCCAAGAACTGCACAGCTCCGTTCAGCACCTGTAGACGTCCAACCAAAACGTTATAGCGTCTTTGGCCTTGGCCAACCCATGCTTGAGGAGCGGCAGGAGGAGGATTGACGTGTGCTGGTGGTGCTGGTTCGGGCGCAGCTTGTTGTGCTGCTGGAGGAGCAACAGCAACAGGAGCGTTATCGGCCCTGGGTAAATTAGCATTAGCTGGTGGTTGAGCGGCGGCACCTGGAGCATTATCTGGGCCCCACATTCTCATGACATAGTCATTGAGCTGATCCATTCCTAGTTCAGCAATCTCTGGTTGTGGTTGGTGTATCTGATGTTGCTGCCAGTGGATGTTTGCTAAGCGCCTTAGCACTTCATCCTGCAAATTTAAATGGGTTTATTTTCTTTCACAGGTCAACAAGGCACATATGATGTATAGACACCTAAATATTTTTAACCTCTTAAAACAATTTTAAACCTTTTCTTTGTGTAATTATTTTTAACAATTAATAAAAATATGAAGAAAAATGACAAAGCAAAATTCAATTTTTCAATTTCTGCATCCCAACTAAATTTCTCTCTTGAGAAAAAGCAAATTTTCCCATTTCAACTTCTAAATCAATTTGACATCACTGACCCTAACCAGTAATGCAATGAGAAAAATAACAAACAACCTGGCCTATTCTGTTCTTTTTCCAGCAAGCTAGCATTAAAAAGGTGAAATAAAGCAAAACAAAAATAACTAAGAAAATTAGAATGTCGTTCTTTATTAGTTCATGCATCAGTAGGAATTATTCATAGGAACAAGTTGGATTTTGATTTATTGTGTTATAAAGTTAGAGCGTTTTGGCACTTGATTTTGTTTAAATCTGACAACTTGCTGCCTATCTACGTGCCCGCCTTCTAACCGGAGGCCTGGCCCCACGAGCAGGGGGAGCAGGGGGCCTGACTGCAGCCATTTGAGCAGGGGGTATAGCCGCAGCCACCTGAGGAGGTAACTGATTCATAACATTTCCTGGAGCTAAATTTACGTGAGCTATGTGCATATGCTGGCCCCAAAGATAGTTCTGTAACTGTGCAATTGGCGCAAAAGCTGGCACTGCAAACTGGTGTTGGTGAGGAGGCAAAGCAATGTTAGCTACCTGCACTTGTCCCAGGAAATTGATGGGCATGTGCCCATGATGTGGTAAACCGCCACCAGTTTCTTTGGGCTTGATCTTGGTTGGGTCGTGCTTCAAAGTCAAGCCTTTGGCCTCAGCTTCCTTCTTGGCTTTTTCGCCCTCTTCTATAACTTGGCGTACGTGTAGCTCATCATTGTTGGAGTAGAGGGGGCAAGACCCATTGGGATTTGGTCCTCCTTGTGGACCTTGGTAGAAATGATCGTAGTCCCGGATGGGCTGGCGGCAAAGGTAGCACATCTTGGAACCACATCTGCTGCAAGTCATCTTATTGCAGCCGTCAGACTTGATGAATTTGTTCTGGCATTTGTAACACTCCCTGCAAAAGTTACAATTATCAAAGTTGAGTTTAAAATAGGTAGTAACAAGAAATACCTTATCAAGACATTAGTCATGCGCTCTTCAATTTCCTTCCGAAGCCGAGATTCAGCATCTTTCTCAACCTCTTCGCAACGAAGTGGCAAGTGGTTCAATTCCTTGCATTTACTAAATTACAAAATAAGATTAGATTTCAAATTTAAATACACAATTGATGGGTCTTACCGGCATGAGACCTTCTTGCATGTATCTGCTTGGCATTCAAACAGTGCGTTGTTTTCATCAGGAATGTAGCTGTAATCACAGAAAGGACATGATTCGAGGTCCTGAATGTTGGCAGCTCTGATTTCTTCCGACTGCATCCTTCTTAGAAGACAAGTAAAAGCTTTGGCATCAAGAACAGTCTTCAGAGTTTGCAGAGGGAATGAACTGGCACAGTTTCCTTCAATGCACGGAAACTGAGTCTTGTTGTCTCCAATAGCTGTTTCTGCATACCTATAAGCATTCAAAGATAATTAATATTTGAGCGAGAAAAGCCAGGTATACGCACTGTTTGATGCAATTTTTGCAGAACAGGTGGCCATCAGCACAAGCAGTCATGTCTTCAAACAAGCATTCGTCTTCGCAGCAGACAGGACACTCCACAAGCTCATTTTTCGCTCTTGCTCGCTCAATGGCTCTCTTTCTCTCCTCTTCTTTGTTTTTATAGTATCTCTTAATGTCCTCCTTCATCTTCAAGTATGTAACTTCCTGGAGAAAATGCAGGTGCTGAGTTTGTGTTGGTGCTTCTTGATATCTGCTTCTCCTGTTTTTGCTATAAAATATAAATCAATTAAGGCTAGAGGTTAAAAACTAGCTCAATTCCTTACATTTGATTTGGCTCTCTCTGAAGGGCATCAAATGCTTTGGTCAGGTTGTACGAAAGATGGAAGATTTGCAAGATTTTTTTCTTCGAGATTCTGGAGAAATGGCTGCTCAGGAAGGATTGACACAGCTCTTTGTACAGCTCATCATTCTGACCAACAGTCTTTGCCTCGAAATGTTCTTGTGGGTTTGGAAAGTGCTTTAAAAATTCCTCAACAGACATTCGTTGGGTATATTTTTTAAAATCCTCTTCCTTCTTCTTGCGCTCTTCAAACTCTTTGCGTGTGGGCATACTTTGGCCCTCAATGGCAGCATTGACGAAAGCACTGTACTCTTCTGGTTGTTCTAATGTTTCCAAAACCTTGTGTCTCAGAAATTCTGGATCTGTATTCGGAAACATTCCAATAAGCTGAGCAACTCTTTCAGTCACTTCCGGCGGATCGACTGGCTCTTCTGTCACATCGCCATCTTCTTGCTCATTACTTGGGCCTGGCTGCGGCGACTGGGGACGAAAATCCTGAGCTCCAGCATCGGCATCAGCAATTCCAGTTCTTGAGAAAATATAAATTTAAATTGGATTTCGGATTTTAAAAAGAGAGAAAAAGTTTTTTGTACACTTTTGATTTTTTAATTCTCACCTGATTTGAAGTTGTTGAGCGACAAAAGTGCCGATCAAATTTTCATTCCAGTCATATTCCACACACTTCAGTTCCAAATCCTGCCTAGCAATGTCAGGTAAAATGTGGCAGATCTCGTCCAACAGCATCAATTTGGCAGGCGCAAGGCCACTTGGTCCTGCCCTATCTTGCACACTGCAACAAAGAAAACCACGCCATAATAAAAACTTCTGTAAATTTATTATAATAATCCAAACTCATACTTCTGATCGATTCGAGGTCGTTTAGGAGGCGATGCTAAGTCCTCGGCATCATACAGTTGCTGTGCAAGCATATTGACAGTGTTGTCCTTCTCAATTTGGAAAATAGACAAGTACATGTCCCTCATTTCATCAAGAGGTCGATTCGGAAACAAGGATGCCAGATTCTCCAGGTCAAGCTCCATTTTGGCATTGAAATTTGCAGGCATCTCCTCCTGCTCAGCCGCACCACCTATTTGCTCCAGCTGTCCATCGAGGATTGACTCAACCTCTCTGGAATCGTCGCTGGCCGCAGCTTGCTCCTTCCGAGCTTCAACAACTTTCCTCTTGTTCGAGCGCGGCCTCGAGTCTTCATCATCGTCCATCTCACTATCGTCTTCTGCGACATATGCTAGAGACTCACTTGGTTCAATCGAGTTTTCGTTGTCGATGGTATTTTCAGCTGCTGGCTCAGTCGCATCTTCTCTTGAAGTCGTGGGCCTGACTTCTCCAAATTCGCCATTGTTGATGCGCTCCAACAGATCCTCAACCACCAACTAGCCAAAAAATTTAATTTGAAAGACGAATTTATAAAAATAAGAAGGGATTAATTTTTTTTATCCTCAATTTTGTTTACATCAATTCTGTTTTCGTGGTCCATGGCAACTTCCAGATGGTGATAGACTTGCTCTATGGACACCTGGTAACCGATCCTTTGCCGCACAATGCCCGCGTCTCTCAGCAGATTTCTCTGTGTATTTTCCATGATGTCGTGCGCATTCATTTCTGCCAGGTCCGCCATCTGATCAGCGGCCAGCGCGTCTTCTTCGAAATCTGTGTTGTTGTTCAGATCGTTATTGTTAATTTCCATTTCCTCCTCCATCTTCCACCACCTGAAGAACCACAGGACACGTGTTATACACGATTTACAAAACTACAGACAAAACACACAAAAAATAGCCCCATTCAAATCAATTTTCGGCAGTAAAAAATTATTCCAAGGCCTGTCCACTACAGTACACTCTAACAATGGTTATCAAAAATGGGCTAGGCCTGTTTGGATTAACCTTATAATTTTTTTAGTCTCTTGAAAAATGAAAACCCTGACCATCCTCAACACAAACCTAACTAAATGCAATGATTTCTCTAGTTTTTTTTTAATCCGCTGACACTTTAACTATCAAAAGATGTAATGAAAATTGAATTCTTGTTGTTTTTAATAACTGCATATGATTTACCAAGAATTAATTTAATTTAAATAAGAAAAAATTCCATAATTAGGTTTAAACCTCTAATTACAATAAGTAGAATGAATTTTTACAATACATAGTGTGTTTGCTTTAATTGTAATTATGGAATTAGAAACTCAGCTAATAATCACTTTTTTTTAATTGAATACAAATTTTTCAAAATTATCGTGAAATTAAATTGTGAAAAGAATTCTGGAAGAGGGGGAGAGCTCAGTGCGGTGGTCGGCCGGAAATAATGGAAATATTATAGCCATAGCAGGGTTCACGTTGACCTGACCTTGGTTGCTGTAATTAAATTATTGTTATCCTGATGGATAATGATTGAAAAGAGAAGCATTCTGCAACGAACGTGACGTTTGCTGAGGCAAAATTACATAATAAAACACAGAAAATTGTAGAGGCCGGAATAATCTTGCTTGAAATGTGTGAAAAATCCCGAAAAGACACCAAATGATAGCGGAAGGAACAAAACAGTCAAAGCACTGGCGACGAACGTTGAGGAATTCAAAAATCGCACGAACTAACCCAAATCCTTAACAAAAGTTTTAACTCAAACGAATTAATTTTTAAACGCCCTTTTTGAAAGAATTATGCAAAATACAAGAGAGAAACCTTTGGCCGCAACAGATTATCAACGGAAATTCACAAAATACAGTTAAAAATTAGTACCTATGCCTTCGGCGTCAAAGTCGGAAATGCAGAGCGGCTTTGTCGGCGCAAAGGGCACGACGGAATTTCAAGCTCTTGAGGACCTTCGGAAGCGCAAGTTAACTAATTTTAAGCTCTTATTCTATCCGATATTTAAAAATTCAACGCCCGTTGACAAGATGTCCAGTCGAAGAGGATTAAAATATTTAAAAACTAAGCAACAATGAACAACAACTGTGAGGTCGCCATGGATCCTCTTTGTTGTTGCTCGTCGTCTTCCGACCTTCCGAGCCGAAGCCGAGGCTTGGTTCCGAGTTGAATTCCCGAGCGCTTCCGAATGCCGGCCGAAAAAACGACTGCAGCGCATATAAAAAGTGCCAACATATTGGTTTTATGCAATCATTATTTATGACTATTTTATGTACACATCGGGAAGTTAAATAAAATTTTTCCTAAAATTTATCTTTTTAGTTTATATTTAACTTAGACTTTTAATAATATGTATTAGATTCCTTTCCAAAAAATCCATTTCTGAAAATTATCATGTTGGTAGAAACCTTTTGTTTTGATTTCCGACCGGGCGGCGGGCACTTTAAATTTGAAGGGACTGGATCTGATTGTGAGTGAAATTACTGAAATTAGAAATTATTAAATTAGCGAATGCAGTGAGAAGCGAGAAATGAAACATTTTACAGATTGCATTATTACCTTGTGTCGTGCTTTTTAAAACAGGTATATAATGTAAAGCTCACTACAATAAATTTTGTCTTTTTGATTTTGAAGTTTTTTGTTGAAGTGCGAACAGAGGTTCATACTAAATTGATATTTAAAAAAAAAAAACGGTAAATTAAAAAAAAAAACAGTTGTTATTTAGGTTAAAAAAAATGGTTATAAAATGCAAAAATATGAATAATTTTTATCAAAAGCTTAATGTCATTTTTTCAAACAAATTTATGTCAAAAAATGTCTGCTCTTTAAACAAATTTGTGCAAAGGAGACATGCAAAATTTTATTTTATTTATCCCCAACCAACGCGCACCACGAGTATGTATGTATGTGTGGATGAAATAATGCCACTTTTGTATTCACAAACTTTATGCGCCGCTTAATCGCAACTCCAAATATTTACGTAAGATTAAATTTTATATATGGTTTTCTCACAACAAACCTTGGACAAAGTCTCTTGAAAAATCTCTGCCATATAACTTATAATGCGACTCTCATGGCACAGACTTGTGTTGCCGAGGAGAAACTCTTGCGGTTTTTTCCTCGCTTTCCTGATCACCATCACTGTTACTTTTGCACTTGTTATCTTGTAAAACAAAATTAATTTATCCTAGCTAGAGTACATGATCCTGTTTTTCTAGCTGGAAGGCATCGCCAGGAAAAGCTCAAATTGCAATTCACCATGGAAGTAATAGGGTTGCAGCTCTAAGACAGCATCACGTGGAAAAAGATCACGGGAAAATGGAACTGCTTGAACTTGGGCCTCAAAGGTATGTTTTGTCCTGGTTATGTGACTAAAAAAAAATTAAATCCAATTCTTATGCACCAGATTGGTTCATTTGGATCTGAAAGGAGCACCGCCGAAGCTTCCCTACTTGAAACAGGTATAATTTTTAATGTGAACGCTTTCTGTGTTAATTTAAAAATAATTAATTTCCTTTTAGTTGTTTCCACTTCTTAAAGAATGGGGAGCAACTGGTTTGCTTATTGAGTGGGAGGACACTTTCCCGTACGATGGAGAATATCTGCAGGCCATCGGCTCCTCCGGACCGGATTCCCCAGGAATTTATTCGAAAGCCCAAGTGACTGAGATTTTAGGACTGGCTGAAGAACAGGGACTGGATGTTATACCATTAGTGCAGACGTTTGGGCACTTGGAGGTGTGTTAATTTTTAGATAAATTTTATCGCTCTTAAAACAAAAATTGCAGTTTGTACTTAAACATGATAAGTTTTGGAGTCTCCGAGAAGTTGAGCACTTTCCCGGCTCAATGTGCCCTTCCAATCCAGAGAGCTTACCTTTGGTTCAGGCAATGTTAGAGCAAGTGGTCAAAATGCATCCTGATATAAAGATGTTGCACATTGGTGCAGATGAGGTACAAAGTGCATTTTACTTTGTACATTTTTATTAAAAAATAAATCAACAGGTTTGGCACATGGGAGTGTGCAATGCTTGCCGATCACGAATGGCCACTTTGGGAGAAAGTGCGAAAGAAAAGCTTTTTCTCGACCATGTTACCAAAGTTCTGAGGTGGATGAAAGAGAAATACCCGTACATAGATCTCTTAATGTGGGACGACATGCTTCGTCACATAGATCCTCTTTTGCTCATTGGTAGGAATGATTGTAAAATCTTTTTTGAATACAAAAAAATTAAAAAATTTTAACTTAAAGAGTACGAGATTGGAAAATTGGTGCAACCTATGGTGTGGCATTATCGAAACTCGAAAACATTCCAACTTTCAAGAGGTTTGCTAATATAAATTCACTCACAATTGAAAAAGCTTATAATTCATATTTTTTTCAGATCTTTGGCCTATGTACACGAAAGTCTTTGACGGAATTTGGGTGGCTACTGCATTTAAAGGAGCTACAGGCCCAAATGTTCAGTTGCCAATGATTTCGATGCACCTCGACTGTCAGGAGCGGTGGCTTCAAGAACTGCAAATACAGCATGATAGAGGAACTCTTCCGAAAATCCAAGGCATTGCCCTGACTGGTTGGTCAAGGTAGAAAAAATCTTGATTTTAAATTTATTAAATCTTAAAATATTATATTCTGACAGATTTGACCACTACGCTGTGATGTGTGAGCTTTTGCCAGCCGGGTTACCAAGCTTAGCTCTGTGTTTGGCTCAGTGGCAGGCTCGATTATTCACGTACGAAATGCACAGGAACATCTCCAAAAACTTAGGATATGTTGACGGACAATTGATCCCTTTAAATCCATACCCACCTCAGTATGTTTAATAAAAAAAGTTAAACATCAATTTTAATTTGAGATTATAAAGGGCTGCCAATAAATTGCCTGCGTCAAACTTTCCTGGCTGGGAGGTGAGACATGGCATCGAATGGTTTGTTCACCTGCAGGCAAAGATCAAATCAGTGACTGATGGGGATACGTGAGTACAAAACCACTATTTTCCATTATCATACCCTCATTATTTTTTTATCAACAACAAAATATTTAGAGCGCAAACCTGGTTACACCAGTATTTTTTGAAAATAAACTTTACCAATCCGAAACGTATTTTGGGACTTCGAAGAAAAGCAAAACAGTAAGAATACTTTAATCGTGTTTTTTGCTTGACAGGGTTGTATCGTGGCTTTCTCCTTACTTAGCTAAACAGAACTTTACAAACCCTGCGCATACAATTCTTCTAACCAACTCAATACCAATGTGAGTGTCGTCTGCTTTTCATGTCAATTCTTTGTGTTTTAAACCCTTGAAAAATAATTCTAAGCCAGCTTTTATTGCAGGCTGTTGGACGAAATTGCAGCTCTCGAGAGCTACCTTAAACCTGCACTCGAAAATATTTTCACTGCCATGACAATCGATGAATGGTTTGGAACTCATTTGGAGCCTCATCGGGAACAGCTCAAGCAACTTTTGCAAAGTGCTGAGCACCAGCTAGCCGTTGGGGGGCGTACAAGGAATACAAAAATCAACTTAGAATTGTAAAAAAAAAAATCAGAGTCAATCTGCAAAAATATAAAGTAATGCCAAACAATCATGCATTTTTAGATGGTGAATATTGTATTGATCTGAATTTTAGTATTAAAATTTTACCATATACGTTACAAAAATTAAATAATTAATTAGTTTCATTTGAAATTTTTTCTCCAATTTTGATAAAAATTCAAGGTAAAAAGTTTATTGAGAATAGAGAAAATTTACTTGAAGAACATCCTAAACATCAAACATTACCGCAGAGGTAATATAAATTGAAAGCTCAATTTCTTAGTGCATTTTTACGACGCCAATTATTTGCCGATTATATTGTTTCGGAAAGATTGGTTAGGAGAATGGTGCTTTCTTATTGTTATAGTCCAGTCATTAAGTGATATAATTATAACAAACGCTCGACCCGCTTTAGGTTACCTACATTTTTGCACTCAATTGAATTTCGGACGGCAGCACCACATGCACAATAAACAGCACATCGCACATGTGTGCATTTCTCAGTGGGTTACTTTTTTGTGTCGGGGTAAAACCGGCACTTCCTCGAGCGACCACTGATGGTGCTTGCTGCACCATTCGTGGCCGCAGCTGAGAGACAGACAGGGCATCAGGTGACAGAGCAGCAACATTGATAGGAAGAGTCGTTTATGAGTAGCCAAGTGACACAGTTGCGTTTTGTAATATGTGCAAAGAATAAGGCCAAATAATTACATCAAACCTTTGAAAGTAAGTAAAAATTGTGTCTATTAATTCTATTTACCCCAACCAAAATAATTATGAATTAAATAAGCAATCCCAGCATCAGGGATTATTCGTTTCCCGACAAATGGCGCCCAACTAACAGCCCACCCCCCCGACCCATGATGTAGTTATCTTCATCCCCCGTGACCCATGCTGTAGATTTTTTTATCCCCCACAACCCCGCTGATCGGATGCATTTTATCCGTTCACCCCGCGACGCGCGTGAAACCCCATCATCCGCCGAATAGTCCCATTTAGCCCATCAGCCAGACGCCCAAGCGTCGGTCATTTGACGCCCCTGTTTGCATGTGCAATGTGAGCCGTACTTGCAACGGTTTTTCTGCTGCACAATGCCACCGAATAAGACAACGATACCCCTGCTCCCCGATAATTTCCATGGCACTCCACATGAAAATGCTCGCGGTCATGTCAGTATGTTCAAAAAATGCCGAAACATAGCTGAGTGGTCCGACCGTAAAGCTCTTGCGTATTTCCTGTTCACCCTTCGTGACGATGCTGGCGATTGGGCTGATTTCCATTTGGCCAACCCTGCCAATGCAAACAAAACTTTAGACGAAATTTACGCCGATTTCATTGCGCGTTTTTCACTCACTTCAAAATTGCACGCAGAGCACTACCTGTCGAACCGCAAACATCAGCCAGACGAACGCCCGGAATTTTACATCCATGACATGGTCCGCTACGCTCAGAAAATTGACCCGAATTTCCCCGAATCTGCCTTGGTCTTGCGAATAATTCACAATTTGCAACCAAGTCTCCTCCGCCAACTGGGCGCTCCACTCCCAAAAACAATTACCGAATTGCTTGACCGAACCACAACTATTCATGGCTTAAATCAATTGGCTAATGCCACATTCGGAAATCCCAACAAGAAAAAGGTTCACTTTCAAGACGAGCCGTGCGAGCCGCTGGAACCCGACCCCGTCGAGAAAAAGCGAGCCCGTTGCTCCCACAACGCGCAGCTCTCTTCAGTAGCTCTGGATGACACTTCTTTAAATTCGTCACAAAAATCAGAAACTCAGACGAATGAATTTTCGGCTCAACTTTCCACTTTAACTCAACAAGTGACAAGTCTCCAAAATTTGCTCCAGGTCCAGAACAGCCAAAACTTTCAGCTTTACGCCTTCTGCGCCAAATTCGGCCACACTGAAGTGCACTGTTTTTCTCAAAAATTTGCAGCAATGCAAGACGAAAATAAAAAGCTGCACGCGATGTTGGAAAACTGATAAGGAGGTCTGCCGATCAACCCCCAACGACAGACCTCCCAAATCAGCAACCCTCTCCGATCATGACGTCAACTCAACCCGTCACACCCTCTTTTCTTACCCCTGACGATTCTGTGGGTAAAAAACTCCTCTACCTATCCCCATCCCCTTCTCCAGCCCCTCTCCTTGCCGATGATGCTGTAAACCCCGCTGCGACGAGTTTAAAATCCGGACCCCAGACACCTCAAATTGGCCAAAATTGTCTGGTATCTCCGCCACAAACTCCTCGCCGTACGGTTGACCATCCGAACGCAACCACCCAATACCAATACCCTAAATCACCAAAAATCAATCGATCAATTTTTGGGCATCAATCTGGACCCCTGGCAGCTGAAAATTGCCATGTATCTCCAGCCAATACAGCCCTAAATTGTGTTTCACCTCCTATCAACATTTCCCCAACTTCCATACCAAAATTTGACCACCTGAATGATCCTCTCACAAATGAAACTCCGCAGCGCACAATACCGCGCTTCTTTGAGGCGACCGATAGGCCTCCCCCCTCCGCCAAAAACACCCCCAAAATTTTGACTCCAAGTGCACATCTCATTGACCTCAGCAATAAAAATGACTCTTACGCGTCTACGGCCACCGATAAGCCATCTCCACGTTTACTTGCGACAAGTGCACTTCCAATTTCACAACAAACAACAACCGCGATCCTAATGAATGACAAACTGAAAAATGATTCCTGCTCCACTCAAGCTTCCAGCGCCTCCGATGCGCGCTTGCCGTGGCCGTTTTGTGCCACTGATCGACCACCACCTTCTCCTCACAAGAATGCAAGAAGAAAATAAATGCTGAATTTATTTCCAATTAGAATAGTGGGAATTTTATTGCTGCCTGAGAATTAATCAGTCAATTTTCAATAATAAAAATCAGTAACAAAATCAATCCTAGTACCAAAAAATGAAAGGAACACAAAACACAAAAACTCCATGCAATCAAATGATTTAGAAAAAAACAAACAACAATAACAAACTTTTAACTGATGTTCTCCGCAGTTACCATTATAGTCCCGGGAGTAGAACATTTAGGTTTCAAAATAATCTTTCTTCCTTATCCAAAATTTCCCCAAGAAAAAATTACGTTGTTGCTAATCGAATTTTCATTACAGAATTTTGCCAATTGCCACTGACGTTGTATGACTGTGACCCTTCGACAGAGACGTCCGCACGCAATACCGCACTGGCGTGCATTTAAAAAAAAAATCTAACTTTCAGCCTCAATAGCGCCTTATGCGCCCACGGCTCCCTCTGAGCTCCCCCTAAATTAAACGTCTTAATGTCTGAGGGTTATGAGCACTTTAAATCCCTTTTTTAGATTTAGACACATTATATTTTAAGATTAAACCAATCACACAATACACAATAAAACACAAAACCATCAATCAAAATTCACGAACAAACTGTACTTTCGGCACATCAAAAAATTAAAATGTAACACAACACAAACAAATGCATGACACAAATTTATTTTCAACTCGCTCAAATCATTGCTTTGCGCAAAAAATTGGAGTTCAGTCCTTCTCAATTTTGGTTCTAAAAAACCACATTTCATCCCTCCACTACAAAAAAAAAAAAAATGCATCTCCAACTCGTAGGTATATCTGCTTCTGTTGTCCCGGGGGGGAAAAGCCAGTTTGCTATGGGACCTTGTCCACCCCATTTAAGCAATGCCTGCCCTGGGTAGCAGCGGAAGTAGAGAAAACTGCTGAGAAACAACTCCTATTTCTTGCGCAACGCACCCCAAGAATTCGACAATTAAAATTTTAATTTCACAAACCAATTAAATTGTACAACTAAAATTAACTTCTCAAATTAATTCGACACAAATACCCTCCAGTGCTCAATTGAAAAATGTATCTTTAATTTTAAGTTGTGCTCAATTGAAAATGTATCTTTCAATTTATGTGTTCTATTGAAAATGTGTATCTTTGAAAAATTAAATTGTTGTCCTCATGTCACCGATGATCTTGTCTCCTCTCAGCCGGGGAGGTGTCGGGGTAAAACCGGCACTTCCTCGAGCGACCACTGATGGTGCTTGCTGCACCATTCGTGGCCGCAGCTGAGAGACAGACAGGGCATCAGGTGACAGAGCAGCAACATTGATAGGAAGAGTCGTTTATGAGTAGCCAAGTGACACAGTTGCGTTTTGTAATATGTGCAAAGAATAAGGCCAAATAATTACATCAAACCTTTGAAAGTAAGTAAAAATTGTGTCTATTAATTCTATTTACCCCAACCAAAATAATTATGAATTAAATAAGCAATCCCAGCATCAGGGATTATTCGTTTCCCGACATTTGTTGCTTTTCACTTGCATTTCTCCGCTGAAAATTTCACTAATTAACAGTTGTTGCGGACGCGATTATCAGTTTTCCTTGTTTTTCAAACTGCGCAGTCGGTGGTTTCTAAAGTAAATAATATTATTTGTTCTATTGGAAACTTTTCTAATACTTTAAATTAATTTACTATATATCAGTGATATGTTTTAGATTAAGAAAAAAATTGCCGCTTAAAAAGCATTGAGGTTAATTCATAAATTAAATACCTTCTAGTAAAATAATTTATTGCACTTTAAAAAAAAACACGAGCTTTGCAGCTGCACGAAATGAGCTGAAGGAGTTTGTCGTCAACCTTATAGCCTTGTCTTATATCGTGAGCAACTTTTTGAACCTTGCGCATAAACATTTGCACCGAGCCGACCATATTTCATGCTCTGCGAGAGGCAGCAGAGGCGATTTCTTTCTGTCCGCCCTCTTTCCACCTTCGTAATTTTGCATCCAGCTCACTTGCGTATACACAAACTACGCCAGCTCTGCGTTTATTCACCCTGAATTACTTAAAACTTAAATCCAGAAAAAGTGAAGAACTTTGTTATAAAATGAAAAAATGAGAGTGGATTAATTGATTTGATTCAGAGAAGCAGGAAAAGTGCCTCAATTGTTTTCGCTGCCCCCGCGCTTGGCGACAGGAAAGGAATGCGTTGCAGTGTTTAAGGTGCTCTCTCGGTGCCAAGAAGCCTTGAACTTGTTACTTGAATTTTATTACCGGAGTCTGCTGCGGCGAGAGTGATGCTGCTTGCGAGACAATAAGCCAAAATTAAATATTCCACTTACGGACTTCAAGTGGCGCACCGACAACGGCCGCAGAATAACGACAACTCTTTTGGCATTCAGCCTGTACGAAACACAATGCGAATTGTGCGTCATAAACAAAGTGATCGATCGCGTGTGTTGCTTGTGGGATTTCCTCGATGCGATCACTGATTTTTAATCTTTTAGACAAATTTTCCTCGTATATAATCAGATACTCAGTTGCTAGAATTTTAACGAAAAAGCCTCTTTTTCAAACAAAAATTTTTATTTAATCCTTAACAAAACGTAAGTAATTCAAAAAATTATCTTTATTCATTGCAAGTATTTCCAAATTCCAATTTCTACAAAATAATTGAAAAACAATTTTTATGTATCAACGATTTTTCTTACAAATAATAAAAATATAAATTATTGCTATTAAAAATTTTTATATAGAATCAGCTAGAACAATTTTAAAATTTTAAAAGAAGCGTTGTATATTTTTAATACATTTTTTTTCTATTTGCTAGTTTCTGCTGAAACAGCAAAATTGTAAATTCTTTCAATTTGTTTCTGTCTGCAAACTATTTCAACCTTTTTCTTAGAATTGAGGCCAGTTCTTTCCGGTCATTAAGCAAACGCAAGTGATGCACCTGACATTCTAATAGATTTTTCCCTTCTGACATAAGGTGCGAAACACGCACTCGAAGTCGCGCGGTCATCTTTGGCATATATGTATGTATAAAAATGCTTGGCTTGGGCATTAGCGCAGTGGTAACGAATCCACCACACATTGCATTGTTTGAACAAGAGACCAGAGCAGCAAAGGCAAACAAGACCATCTCATTACGTCACCTTTTCGCCATCGACTTTCTCACACGCCCAGGTTCAGTGCAACGGACAAAAAATGCGAATTAAATCGACAGGCTCGACGCACGCCTCATGCATTTTTATTCCTCTTAATTATCGGTAATGAACATTCTTTGTGTGTAACACGTAACGCGAATCAAAAGGAGAAGGGAAAATTTAACGAGCAACCCTCTCAATTTCCATTAACGGACCTTTTATTCAAAATTTAATAGACTTGCAATAAGCCATTGGAATTCAGTCAAATTACACAAAATTTAATTAAGGTAATTCAAATTTATTAAAAAAAAAATACAATGTTTTGTTAAAAGGAAAATTGAAAAACTCTTTGGTGCTCAGTTATTTTAGAACAAGGCAAATTAAAAAAAAATGCTTAGCAACAATTGTTTTCATTTGGAATGCTGCGAAAAATGGCGAATCCGTTATGAAACCTTTCCATTCCCGGGCATTGTGTCAACGAGCGCAGCCCATTCAATGGTGGCTTTCAAAGTGATGATACCTGCATGTGCATTGAACGCCACTCGACATGTCGAGGGCGAGGTCGGCCCGATAATTAAAATAGCAGCGCGGCAATATCTCGAGCACGCATTACATTTATTTGATAATGGATATTGTGTGCCTTCATATATATCGCACTTAGCCTACATTTTAATTCCGTCGCATCGCTTTTTTGGGTTATCGTCTTTTTTTTCCAACGTCGGACTTGTGCAACAACAAAATATATCCACTACCACCCAACTTGCGATATCCAACTGCGAGCAATCGTAAATGCGCGCGAGGCAGGATTTTTTTGTCACTTGTCAAGTGTGAAATTTTTCTCGACGCACTTTATCGCCTTTTTCACATTTCGCAACTGCGGAAAATGAAAATGTCTTGTAAATAAAATATACTTTTACGTTGTGTCCCTCTTAATTGATAAGGGGAGTTTTAAAATAATGAACTGGAAGGCAAGGCCGCTCAAAAAACTTTTGGTAAGAAGGAAACTTAGAAATTTTAATAAATTAAAAAAAAAACACGGGCAATTTTTCAATAATTACATTTATCAGGTAAATTGTGTTTTGAATATTTAAGTCCTCTTCGAGTGTTGTATTTATGCGGAAAAAAAAAAAAAATTAACAACTCTAACGACTTGCGATTTCCTACTGCGAGAGGTTGTTTGTCACTTGTCAAATGTGAAACTTTCTCGACGTTTTCTATCGCTCTTTGCATTTCCCAACTGAAATGGCTCGTAAATACGTCTGCTTTTATTTTTCTTCTCTTTAAATCTAAATTCATAAATTTTATAAAATAAAATCTTTTTCGAGGTGGCTGAACTTAAATTCAATATTTAAATCTTTAAAATTTGAATAATTTTCTGGAGTGGTGATACTGGTTTCGTCAGAACGGATATATAATTTGGCCAGGGCTCCTTTTTAATTTTTTAAATTAAACCAGCACTTTCTCGGCTAATTTCAATTTGCATTTCTTTATTAATAAAAAAAACTCGCATGCAAGACTTGTTAATTTTATGACTCTTTGCAAAAGCATTTTCTCCGACTGACTCATTTGAAATGAAATGGGTGGCTGGGCCGGGCAGGTAGGTTTTCCCCGTCTGGCATTCTCGCTGCGCCTCTTGCATGAGGCGGCAGCAGCTTTCGCATGAATCGGGAATCGAGCAAGATTCCTCGCGATGGATGCTCTCGTTTCCTTTTCTATTGTGTAACGGCTGCGAGCTGTAAAACAAAAGGGCCTAGGGCTCGACACCTCCCGTTTTCCATTTGGTCGCAGCAAAAAAGCAGCAAGCCATGGCGCGGCGCGGGCCCCAACCGGTTTTTTCGGGTCATTCCGACCATACTGGCGAGCTCGCTTATAAAATAAAATTCCGCCAGCAATTTATACTTGCTGCAGGATTTGATGTATATCGAGAAGAAATCGCGGCTGAAAAAATAATTTCGCGCAGATAATACACCGTGTTTCGCGTAATTCGGCAGCGCCGTTTTCGAAAACGAGTTATCGGCGCGCTGCAATTACCGGAGAAAAAGAAGAGGCGACGACATTCATTTCTTCTCTCGTTTTTATATTTACGAGCGGAAAACTCGTCTCGGAATAATAATAATAATAATAATCCGCAATCAAGAAGAGAAACATTTATTCGTGTCCCGTGGCACTTGAAGGTTAAAATGTGTGTACAAGAATCGGCGGCGCGCGGCGAGATGCTTTCGCTTATATCATCCAACTGGCTTCTTTGCCACTCAGTGCAGGGGAATTTTTCCTCTGTTGGCCGCCAACAGCAGGCTGATGCATATGATAATGTGTGCTTTTTTACGAGCAACGTGATTTTTCCCCGGTATTTGGTTTCCTCAATAATATCTACATGTACGCAGCAACCGACCAAGCACACACGCAGACACGGCCGATAAGAATTATTATTGTTGGTTTGTGGACAAAAATGCACTATTGGAAAAATAATCACAATCAGCTCGCGTGCTGAAAGTTTTACAGTTAAACAAAAAGAATAACAGGTTTTGGCGATTTTCTTTCTGTTTTTTTAAAAAATATTTTCGGATTGAGCGCGCCGAGCATAAATTTTTCTTGGAAGGAGAAAAGCGAGTGATAAATTGGAGAAGTAGTAAAAAAACTATACAAACAATATGCTGGGCATTAAGGAAAGCGATGGGAGTGCCGCAGAAATTTTTGCCTCGAGTGCTTGCGGCGCGAGATGAGAAAAGAGGAGAGGAAGGCACAACAGCGAAAATATTCGCCACTCGACCGCAGCTCGGAACACGAGCATGGCGAGAGGCTAATTAATTTGGATAGAAAGATGTAAAAAGGTCAGCTTTTGTGTTAGAGAGGATTTAGAAAACCGCTGTTTTCGCAGTCATAGTAATAATTTATGCTGATATGTCCTCAAAAAGATATTATTTAAATGCTTTATCAATTGATTAGAGTTAAAATATGAACCATATTATTAAAAGCTATTTTATTTATAAATAAAATATTTAAATTTTTGTTTTCTGTATTTATTTATTTTTTCAATTATCTTAGCTAGAAAAAATAAATAAAATAAATGATAATATAAAAATTTATTTATAGTAGAAAATAACATAAATTTACCTTTTTTAAAAAGAAAAAATTATAGTTTTCTTAGACAAGTCTACTTTTTACCTAAAATAACGTAGAAAAATTGTGATGCTATAAGTGAAACAAAGTGGTAAGTTGATTATTTAATTGCATCCAATTGCATCTAAATTTGTGCGGTAAAATTTTACCGGGTCAACATATTATAATTAGTTATTGTTTTGAAAAGAGTGCTTCTAGAAGAAAATATTTATTTCAAAATAGGTGGTAAACAAAAACAGTGAATAATAGATATACTCAAAGTGAAGAATTTGGGTTTATTCTAGAACCACAGTTATAAATTGTACCATAAAAGGTGATTTTTTTCCATCCCTTATACAAATCTAGAAGGCAAAATCACTTAAATATTTAATTATAATTGACCCTGATAAAAATTCCTGCAAGAATATTAAAAAAATCTGTTTTAGATCTGGAATAAAAAGTAAAACGGATCATCTTTTTTTACCAAATAAATATTTGAATTACCTGATTTTTAAATAAAAAACTGCAATTTTGACAAGAATTAAATTAAAAATTTAGCAAATTCACAAATATTATGTAAGCAGAAAATAAATTCGCAGAACGAACTCGTCACCATCAACCACACTGAATGTTTTTACTTTCAATCACCACAACGCAAATTATATCCATTCCGTCGCAGCCTATATAGTTTGTTGATTCCATTTGGCAAGAGGCCGCCGCAGATATGATATGCCCTGAGTTAGTCAGGGTCGTGACGTCACGCGTCCACTTCTCTTCTCTCAGCAGGCAGCGGCGGCTTCATTTATGCACACACCGGCAGCCAGCAGCAGTGTGGGAATAATTGTTGTGCAGACCAGACCTGCGGTCGCTCCTTCAAGTCTCTGCCCAGCACCATGAAAAGTTTCTTGCTCGTCGTGGGCCTCGCGGCCGCCTGTTTGGCCGCCGAAATCCCCAAGAACATGAGCAGTGACACCCCCGCGTGGACCTCGCCGCCCCCCATGGTCAACCTGCGACCTGAGGACCTGCACAAGCCGGAGGTCAGCCTCGGCCCGATCGCGTCGCACAGCGACTCGCTCTTCCCCGACATCCACCTCCACCACGAGGGCGACCACCCCCCGAACGTGAGCGTCGCGGCGCCGGCCTACGTCGTCAACGGCACCGAACACGCGATGGACCAAACCACCACCCCGCAGTCGTACATCATGAAGATCTCGACCACGGGCAAACCCAAGGGCGCCCACGCCGAGCCGCATCCCGAGCCCGAACCCAGCGCCGAGCCCGAGCCGTCCGCCGAACCCAAGCCTTCAGGGTCAAGCAAGCCGGCGGGAGCGACGACCGCCAAGACGAGCTCCGCGAAGCCCACCCCGCTGCCCAAGACGTCGGCGGCGCCATCGCTCAGCCCGTCCCTCGCGATTTTGCTCAGCGTTGCGTCCGCCGCTGTCTCCAGGTTGTGTTGACAGGTGAGAATTCCTCAAATCCCTCCATTTTCATAAAATTATTATAAAATCAATTTGCAAATTATTAAATGCAAAAAATATATTTAATTCAAATTTGGCATTTTAAACAAATTGATTGATTGAATATTTTAATCTCCTGGAAAATCAGTATATTTTTTTTTAATCCCCAAAATATTTTATTATTTTTTTATTATAAGAATTAAAAAAATTGATTAACAGAAATTAAAAAATAAAACCTGGTAAATATTTGATTTGTCGCGTAAAAAAATTTATTTTTAGCTTTCTACGAGCATTTAATTAATTTGGAATAATAAGCCTTACAATGTAAACGTTTTCTAGCACTTTCCGTTGACTGAAACCCGGCCTCTTTTCAGGGCCATCATGGCCAAAATTATTCAGAACAGTAGTTTTGCACTCTCATTTATCATTTATTTCTGCAAAATACTGATTCGTCTCGCTTGCTTTGTTTATAAAAAATAGCATCCAATATTTAACAGAAAAAATTATAAATTATCTTGTAATCAAAGTAATTGCCTCCTTTTGTTATGCGAGTTCTTGCTTATCTCGGGAAATATACAAGCTTTCCACCTTTATGTTCGCTTATGATTTTAATCGAATTTATGAACCGAGTCGCAGCACGGTGAGAAATCTGAAAATATGCGCATGTCTCGAGTCAGGGTGCACCAGTCAAGGCTCTCCTGATGGCAAACGTGTTTTGTTGAACTTTAAGCGCACCAGGCCTTCGGATTGCTGACCCCGCAGCTCATGATCATAAAGTTTTTTAATCCTTCGAAGAACTTGCCTCAATGAAGTTACGTTTCAAGCACAAATTTATTCATTTTCCAACAGAAGTTTTATGGAATATATGAAATCGTGTCATGTTATGAACCAGATTTCTCAATTGCCGCATATAATACTCATTTTGTGACTCTGATGCGTAACAATGAAGTGGAATTGAAAAGAATTGGGAGAAGAGCGACTTTCAAATTTTCGTTAATATTGCAAAGCCAATTTGTCGCATCAGGATCTCTTTAAATTTCTTATCAAGCTTTTAAAATTTGCCATTTCCTCTGCCGCGCCGGAATTTTCCCACAAAAGTGCTTACGCCGCGCTATTTCAAGGTTCAAGGCGTTCAGAATTTTTTTCCACCTTGGTGGCTTTTGTTTCACCCTGTGAAAAAGAGCAAAATACAAAACTTCGCGGCTCTCGTCGTGAGAAAATCGCCAGCTCTCTCGGCCTGTGGACATTAATTGCTCCGCGATAAAAATAATTACTTAGAAAGAGAAATATTCAAACGTTTTTGCGGTTGACACTAGGACAATTTTCATTCATTTGGTTTTCTATAACGTGTGCCGGCGCTTTCTAAAGCGATTAGATGAGAATGCCCATCGGTCAACTAACTCAAAGCTGCTCTGCCGACGCTCATTATAAAAAGAAACACCTTTGCGTGGATGTTGCGTAATAAAATCTCGCTCAGGTCACCATATATAAACGGGCCATGTTTTTTTTTCCTGCTACATTCTTGCATAATTTTACAGCAGCTCCTTTTCGTCACAGTTTTATTGCCCATTTTAATTTCCATAGATTTTTTTATCGGAATGATTTTATTGTGCGCTTTTGACACCTACGGAGCGCAAAAGCCGCTACTCGCGAGTAAAAGTAAAAATCTCCTCGGTTTCTTGACACAATGCACGCGGATATTATATTGTATAGATAGATGTGTTGCATTGTGTATAGGTCAATTTATAGTGGGTTGTGTTTGAAGAATGGAAAGTTTGAGCCACGGTTTATAAAGTCGTATGTACCAACTGTACTTATTTGTAGAATCGTACACAAGTGCAAGAGAAACAGACGTTTCCTTTTTCAAATATATACGCTTGCAAAAGAACAAAACACGTCATCGCCAAATATATCCCGTCAAAGGGTTATGCGTTTAGATTGTATAAAATATGCGAGGTTAAGTCCAAATTGCGAAGCGATTTTTTGTTCGTTAACAAGGCTCAGCTTTTTGTCCAAAATAAATATTTGGGCGTTTTAAAAAGTGACAAAGTAATTTAATTATTCAATATACTTCACTCCTTTCTCTTCTCATAGCATGAAACAATCATTGAATTGTGCTTTTTTTTAAAATTTGAAATGAGCCTGATTATAAATTCATATTCTCTCATTTTTCTTCCTCAATCAAATTAAATTGCCTTAATTTATAATGTAGGTTTGATGCATTCAATCGTCTCTTTAATAAATAAATGAACGTTATTTGCAACTAAAAACCATCCAAGTAAATGAGTTGCCAACATCGTAGATTATCTTAAATTGCAGAAATTATTAGAGTGTGTTATGAATGGAAAATTCTGGCACGCGTTCTGTCTTACATAAAGAACAAAAAATGAGCGGTGCCATAAAATCGTTTTCAAATGAAAGCTTGAGAATGAGAACGCAAATATATCTCAGAAAGTGACCGATTCACACTTTTTTGTCGGCTTGCTCTTCGTTAATAGTTTTCCTAACTCGGCTTTTGCAACGGGAAAGACGTACGTGGTTGAACAACTTTCAAATCCTGTGTGCGTTGATTTTGTACGTGTTTCTTAATTAATGGAAATTCCTTTGTTGTTTTTCAGAAGGCTGCACCTGCTGGAGTGTGATACGCAGAGGGGAGACACGTGTATACCCCAGAATCTTGTCATCGATTGAAAATAATGCACTCGCAACACACACACACACACACAACACACAAATTATTAAACTATCCAATAATAATTGCTGCCATTTCCAAAACTATACGAATGTATAATTGTTAAGGTGTTAAGAAAAAATAATTCCTTCGTGTAAATAGATAAGTCATTAGAAGAAAAATTAATTCTTAGTTATATTACTTTAATTCAATAATTTCTACGAATAAATTCATCAGGAATAATTTCTACGAATAAATTCATCAGGAATAAAATTGTTCACTAAAAAATGTGGTAAATCCTAAAACGGATTTGGTTCAGTCGTTGTAGCAAAAAAGCAATTCTTCAAGCTTTTCATAATATTTAGGCGATGAAATGATCCAATTTGTGCGAAATTTTGTTTCTTTAATTAAATCATACTGTATTCTTTTGCTGATGAGATGATTGTGGCAAATGAGTTGTAAGTGGAAAAATAAATGTGGTAAATTTTTAAGAACAAATTTATGCCTCTGAATTTATTTCCCAAACTCATTCCAAGTTAATTGTAGAATTTAATTTTTTCTAAAGAAAGATGTGATAATTAAAAACAGTAATTATGAAATAAGTGATTTTATTAAAAAATTGTATTATCTGGTCGTTCTTGAGAAAAATCAAATGGCCAGGCCGGCCAGTACAATTGCTCGCATATAAAGGTCACTGGACTTTCTTATTCAAGTTTTGCCAGCCCACAGCAGTGCAAATTATACATTGTGGGTGACTTGAAAAACGAGAGTATTCAGAAAGTGCCGTGCAAACCTGTAATTTTGATTGCCGTAGGTAGAAATATGGTCACATAATAAGTGCTTGGGCTGGAGCCATCCTAAATAATACAATATACCTTATATACCACTGTACCACACCAGATAATGCTATACGTTGGCTTTAACTTTTTTGCTGCCTTATTGTGTGCTGCCATCTAAAGTTGCTTATTAAAACCCTAAATTGCACAAGTATTGGTACCTCCAGCGACTATAGCGCTGTCAGGCTTAAACGCTTTAATGGTATAAAATAAATATAAAATAACTATGAAACAATCATCAGTTTTGTATGAGAAATAAAAAAAGAATTATAATAATAAACGTTACTTAATTTCTTAAATTTAAAATTAAATTGAATTTGAAAAATTTGTGTCTAATTTATAAATTTTTTTTATTTTCAGCGTTAATTTACAAAAGACAGTGATTAATGAAATATGAGCGTCGATTAAAATGTTAAGAATGAAGCGAAAAACATATTAATTATATTATTTATAAATTTTGATTTATTTTAAAACGTAACATTTAAATTGCTCATTTCACTCAAAAAGGCTTGATAGATTAATGACTTCTAGTTTTTTCCTGTTACTTTTTCTGCGCAGAATTTTTTTTTCGGAAACCAATGCACCACCAATGAATATAATTTCAGAATTTTCAGATATCACCAGGATGAAAAATAATCCCATTCTTCGCCATTCTTAATTATTTTAACTAGACCGACCGCATAAACAACAAAATTTTTAGCGAAAGGGCATTAATGAATTGATCAAATTTATCTCCTATCTAAACCTGTTGGCTGTTGAGTTTATTATATCAAAGAAAAAGGGTGCTTGACCTCCCACATCATTAAATTCAATTACTGCTTGACAGCTGTTGCTGGCCAGCGGGATACTTTCTCATTCTTTTGTGGCTTTGCAGCACATTCAGGGGAGCAGTGGATAACACTTTTAATAAAGAAAAAATATATATATTAAAAAGTATTTTAAGCCTATTTATGAATCGACGTCTATCTAACGTTTCATCTTAAATTTTAATCCCCAGGGATTAGCGATTAATTGAAAACTGTTGAAAACATTGATGCTGCAAATTATTAATTTTATTTAGGTTTTGAGATTATTATATTACAAAATATTTCAAATTTTACTTTTTTGAATGTGAACGTGGCGGAGAAGAACATAATAAATCGTTACAACTTAAATAAAACTGCATTATTTATAATAATATCATAAAAAAAAGAACAAATTTGAACAAATCATAAAAAAACCCTAAAAAATGTGGGTGGTTAAAAGACGCAGGAAGCGATTTTGCAAATTATTATTGGATAATGTGTCTTGAAGGCGTTTAAAAAAACGACGAATTGAAAAAATCTTGAGGCGGACGCGCGCGAAACGAGAGAAAGAACGTGTGTCGGTGATTAATTGCCGCGTGAATCGGCGGTGACATATTCTTGAGGCGCGAACAAACCAATGGCTGAATGTGCAAAAGTGCGAAATCCAATCAAGCAGCAGCATAACCGTTGGTGATGCATAATTATTTTTAAGCGGAGAGCTTCAAAAACCGGCATGCGAGCTTTTGTTCTCGCGAGAGAGAGAGCACGCAGGGGTTTGAGTTGTGAGAACGGGCAAAAGTCTTTTGTCTTTGGTAATGAAGTGGGAGGGAAAATAAATTGTAGGTACGCAAAAACGGTCGTGCGGGACTTCTGCAGCAGGGCAGAGGCTGCAGCCAACAAACGCAGGGAGGAGAACATCATTAAAATGCCCGCTAGAGGAATAATAATTATTCTGTGCAGCACTTTTTCTGCTCGAAATTGAAGCGTGTGTTTTTTCCAGTCGTGTGCGTTTTGAAAGAGAGGGATGAGTGAGCGAGAAAGGAAGAAGAGTGTATTTACGTATGACATAAGCAAAAGCAGCAGACGAGAAAAAATAACACGGCAGACACAGCACATAATAATAAATGCAAAGAGACGTGAGCCGCAAAAGACGGGATATTTCGAAGGTTAGAAACGGAGAGCAGTTTTTTTTTAAAGTTTTTGGTAATTTTTTAGTACAATTAATTAAATTTGCTGGTTTTGGAAGTAATAAATAAATCAACCAATTGAAATTTTTAAAGAAATAGAAATTTAATTTGTGAACGGAAAACAGCACTTTTGTTAATTAAAAGACAGCAACAATATCATTAAATTAAATTCAAGGGAAGTTATTTTCCTTGAAGCACATAATTCACAATACAATATTGAATTGCCAATCAACAATTTTTGGAAATTATTTTAGATGTTCATCTCCCCATATTAATTTTGTGTCTGTTTTCTACTATTATTCTGTTCTTTACATTTTAAATATTGGCCATATTTATTCAGCACAAAGAAAAAACCACGTTTTCTTCTTACTTTTTGTTCCAAAGAATTGACCATAACAATAAAAAAATCTGTGAAATTTTGCAAATTTTTAAAGGTCACTCTATTTTTTGCCTCTTTTTAGAGCAGTCCAGAGCATTCAACCAAATAAGTGACTCTACAAACGTAAACTTTCGCCTTTGGCGTCATTGGCTTTTGAGAACAATAAAATGAACTAATAAATTACCTCTAAAATCTTATACACATCTGAAAATATCTTGTTACATTCAATGAACCCTGAAACTATACGGATTTGTACGAGAAATTGTATAATAAAAAAGTACACTGTTTCATAAATAATAGCCGTATTAAACCGGATATTAAATAGGAGATTTGAAATTCTAATTGAAGAGTGTCTGTATAACTTTATTGCACAACACCGCTCTGCATTTGCAATCGAAGTAGTTGTGGCAACAAAACGTCTTTTGTACGGAAGTTATGCAACTATCTCAGCGCATCTGTCAATCAAGTTGCCTGAATCCTTTCTTGCTAGGGGCATCCAATACAATTTTATTATGCGGAAAAGTGATTATTGTTTATGTTTTAAATTAAATTGCAAAAAATTTAAAAGAGACAACGGTCTTGGAGAAAAAAAATGCAAATTTTTTGATTAAACTGAAATCATGCAAAAATAATCTCCAGATAAATATTTAATTTGGTTTATATTTGGAATTTCTTCCTCTTAACATATAGCTTGAATGTAAAACAAAGAGCTCACGCCGGTTTTCAAGGAAAAAAATTTAGTGCAGAGGAATTCGCACGCAAAAAGGCGGCGGTTCGTCTTAAAGGAGAAAATTCGCGGATGCTGGCGGGGTTTGCTGGAATATAGCTTATATATGCACAGCTGTGAGCATTTATATTGTTATCCGCGCAATGTGTAAGGTAAGCGGACTTGACACGCAGCACTGCTTTGTAAAATCGAATAAGAGCCTCAAGACGTCTGCTGTCGCTTTTCATGGCTCTTTTTTCCTCCATTGCGCGGTCATTTGCACCCCTTGACAATTTTTTTAACTAAATCGATTCAAGACCAGTTTGAGATAAGGTGAATTATTTTTAATATCATCTTTTCCAATTCCATAGTTACTTATAAAATTGGAAGTGAAGAAATCGGACTTAATTTTTCCTAGTTATAGGAAGGAAAAGACTTCCCTCACTTCCATGATTATCTCCTCGAGTGTCAATTTTTTCAAACACTTATCAAATTAATGTACTTTACAAATTGCAAGTTAATTTTATAAATTATTTTAGAGCAACAATTTACATTCCAACTTCATCAACAAAGAAAGCCAGTCGAAAGTATGTAGTTTACATAATTATCATCAATAAAACATAAGCTCTTTAGTTTCAATATAATAATTAAATATATTTAAGCTATCTTTAAATTAAAATGCAAAATTTTAATTATTTTTTTAGAATTAAATTAACAAAATAATAATAGAGAAATTCAAAATTTAAAAAATAAATTTAAAATAACATAATAAAGCAAAATGTTATTTAATATATGAAATTTAAAATTCAAACATTCTTGTTTATTATACTTAAATATAATATTTAATAAAAACACTGCAAAAATCTCTTCCTAAACTCTAATCCGCGACACAGTAGGCTGGGTTGAGGAGCTTCAGTCCGTCTAGCCTGGCTTGTTGACATTCGCAAGTGTCAGCATTTGCACGATCGCCTCTCGCTCGCGATCGATGAAAACACTTTCCTAAATTTCACCTACGGTAAATGAGAAATTCTGTCAATTTTTTCCTCCCAATAAAAATTCCCATCGATGGGTTTTCACAAACCGATTCAGTAAAAGTGCAAAAAAAAATTGGCTCTGAACGCAGGGGTAGAAAAGTGCAGGCGACCCGGGAAAGCGATTTTCACTCGCGGGGAGGAGGCACTACTTCTCCACCCGTCTGACCTTGACCTTCACCAAGACTGTTCGGTATCGATTTTGCTAAGTGACGTCATTTAAAATATTATCCCTCGCGCTCTCTCTCTCTCCTTTGAAAATGTATGAAATAACACGCGCACGCATGGGGTGAACGCGCGCGTGTGTACACCACAAGCTCTTTGTTGTTCGGCGCCGCGCGCGCGAGTTTTCCTCAAAGGAGGAAATATAGTGAATTAAAACTTTTCAGCGCTGCCTTGACCGAGTTTCCTTCCTTTCGGCTTTAATTAGCAAAAACTTCCCAATAACAAAGTTTTTACTATTTCTTCAAGTTTTAGGTCTTTTTAATATTGAGAATTTTTAACGTATTTAATTTAATAATGATTCTAGAAAATCATCCTGGAAATGTAATGCACTTTAATTGTTAAATTTTTTTAGTTTTAAGTAAAACCAACTGTTTGAAACAGCTTAATTGGCTCATTATATAATTTATTCTTCATTGTAAATACATTGATTTTATAACTTAAAATAAATTTGATTTGTTTGTATCCTGGGGTGAAAAGCTCTTTTTTCTGTCCGGTAAGTTCACAAGACTCCGGAAATCATAGGAGGCGCATCGATCATTGCAGATTCGGCAGAAATTTTGTCTGCAATTCCGGCAATGCAGTTTTCATTTAATGGCGCAGCTGCACACCTTCCTCGTCCTTAAAATTCCCAACATCAAAACCAACCCATCACCCCCTGCCCAGTGGGTCATAGGTCATAGGGCCCTTAGGATTTAGCTCAAGTTAGCTCAATTGCTACCGCTATAGTGCCTTCTCAAGAGGGATAAAAGCAAGTAAAAAAAGACGCATTGATTTCCTTTTTTCATCATAAATTTTCTTTCAAACTTGGCAGATTTTTAGAATTTATTCTCTCAAAATACGGAGTGATGGTGCACATCTGGTGAATTAGAGGCGGCGTGATGTGAGCAGATATTTTGTCAGCGTACAGAGTCATCATCTCTCACACAAATAATGTGTCTGACGGTGACTGCACCATTAAATTGATACCCAACAGTGATTGCGCCTCAAACATTTTATTTGTTCAACTTTAAGTATTTGAAACATAAATTCACTCTTAAAGATATTAATATAATTATTTTTATTATAGCATAAAATTTTTTTAGCCGATTTGAAAAATTTAATTTATATGGAAATTTTTGCAATTATAAAATTTTTTATTTTAATTTAAATTAATTTTAAACAAACATCATAAAAAAAATTTTATGCCTTTTTTGTAGTTTATTTGTAGACAATTTCTGCATTTTTTATCGAATAATTTGTATCTATATATTTAATTAATAAATTTATCAAAACTACATTGAACTAAAAAGCGATAAAAATCTTTAAATGTTTTTCATGCCATTGTTTTATTTCGCTCATCTAATAAATTTCTCTAAAGGAAAATGTAATTTCCAAGGGTTAACAAGGAAAAATAATTTCTCGTACGGACCGAATTGAATTTCAAGGCACAAGCACGGCGCTGACTTGCCAAAAAAGCAGCGGTCGGAAGCGCTGCTGCACACAAGAAAGATTTCGCGATCAAAGCTGCAGTTGGAAGGCACGAACGAACGAACGCGAATAATATAAAAAAAGCGCGCGGCGCGGTTCCGCGGGTGACCTTGCAGAGCGACTTTGAGCCAAGGAGCGAGAGAGAGAGAGGCCTAGGTATGGCAGCATAGGTGGTTATGTGCCTGCCGTGTTTTGGCTAATGTAAATGAATGCCCAGCCGGCCGGCGAGAGGAGCGAGCGAAGAAGAAGAAGTAGTTTTTTTTAAGGCAGCTCTCGAGAGAGAGAGACGCGGCGGGCGCGAGTGCTGTGTTGCAGTTTGGTTCGCCGGCGTAGTAAAAAGACAAGGGCAAGGCTGTGGGAGAGAGTCGCAGCTCGGCGGCTCTCTCGGCGGGCGAACGAGCGAGCGAGCGAGCGCCGCACAAGAAAACACACTGGCGGAGTGAGCGGGCGAGAGACGAGGGTTTTCCAGTCCGTCCGTCGGCGAACGCGCGCGTGCAGTGCGGGGATGGACCTTAAGACGGCGACAGCCCCGCTGCGACGCTAGACATGGACAATGCCGCCGCCGACGAGCAGGCCACCCTGCACTACTTCATGTACCGCAGGGTGCAGCAGGAGATGCAACTGCACCTGTACCACCAGAGCGCCGGACTGCCCCCGCCGCCTCTGCTGCCCCCGGGCTTTTTCCTCGCCGGAGACATGTACGGATTGCCTGGACGCGATTTTTACAACAACGCCGCTGCGGACGTCCAGGAGCAGCCCGAAAATCTGCACAAAGGTAGGCAACCTTTCCGTTCTGGCGGTTGTCATCGCGACTCGGCGTGTATTTCGGGCTCTTTTCTATTTCCGTCCCAAAGGAGGAAAATGCAACACCCACGATATCGAGGAAAATCCAGTGGCTTTCCTTGTTTACGCTAGTTTTTTATATTTTTATTTAGCAGCAGCCAAAATTTAATTGGAATATTATTTATTATTTTATTTTTTTCAGAAATTTGATATTAAAAAACTGTTAAAAGTGTTAATTTAGTTAAATTATAATAAGTTTAACAGAATTTTGTAAGACAGGATCTAAATTTATTCCTCATTGGAAATTTTAAATTTATGCTAATTTTAATTCTTTTTGATACAACTCACTCTGTCTAAATCAGACGTTTGTGTTTACCAAATTAAAACCGAAATCGTACAAAAACAATCGCATTATATAATATTAGCCCGTTTTCGCAACATGGTGCAAAAACAGCCCCGTTGTCGGGCGAAAATCGAAAGTGCGCCGCAAGTTTTGCACCCTCGCATGGACGGTAGGTGTGCGTGCGGCTCTCACTCGCTCTCCTCCTGTTGATAGTCACGTGACTTATGCAGCAGCCACGTGTTTGCACGGCAGCATAACATCCAGGCGGTCCGGAGGCGGCCGGCGTCCGAGAGCGGCCCCCGGCGCCGGCCGTCCACGTCTTTCGCACACACTTTGCGCATTTTTTGCAAGGCTGCGTCATTAACGTGTGATTATTGATTTGGCGGTGCACCGGCCCCGTCTGCCCGCCTCGGCATTGCGATGGGGCCGCCCCGCCGCCGCCGCCGCCTCCTTCCAGATCCGCTTCGCCTATTTTTAGGCCTCGGACGTTTTGCCAAAGGCCGAAATTTCGGGCCGATCTAATTTTTCTTCTCGCCTCTCTGCGGAGGCGGACGTGTTCGCAATGATTGATTTTCTGTGGGATTTCCTTTTGCTATATAGATTTACAAAAGCGGCAGCAATTCTCCCCGTGCGCCCTTTCGCACATCATGTCCTATCAGCCGGTGTCACCACGCCATCGCACTTTGTTTCGCAATGCATCACACAAGAGATTTCGCTCGTTTTCCCTGTCACCTGCTGCGTCTGTGTTGACGCTGACACCCACGCATTCCTCTGTCGCAAATCGAATTGATCGGGATTTTTTTATTTTATTTTTTTTTCGTGACGGATGATTTTGAAACCGATAATAAGTTGTTTTTACTTAAATTTTTTATTCAATTTACTAACGAATTTATTAAATATTTAAAAAAAGGCCAGAGGCGACAATTAATTAAATAATACCAAAAGAGCATATTATAATTTATCAGTTGGTTATTTGGAAAATTAAATGAAATTTTTGATATTTTTTTAATACAAATTTTATTTAAAAATTGGATCGGTTTAAAAACTTTTATTGGAGATGATACATACAAAATGTATTGTAAACAAAATGAATTTTTTTCAAGGGATATTCTGTGAATACTACTTCTGAAAAATCATTAAAATTATATGTATTCAATTGAATACAATAATATTTATCATGCCAAACAAATATGTCTGGTAAATTAATCTGATGGCCTTTATAAAAATTTAAAATTTGTTCATTTTATTCGCAACCCATGAGTGGCCTCACATAGCAAACGGATGTAACAGTAAAATTGAAAAAAAAAAAAAAAAACTAGCATCAATAATATGAAGAAGCATATCATTTAAATCTGATTTTGAGTGTGAGAAAAAAAACAAACTTATGCATGGAGTGATTCACTGCATCAATTACATAAATTTTCCTGAATAATTTTCAAGCTAGTTGTTGTTTGTATCTTAAATTTTGTAATAATTCTATGGCGGAAAAACTTTGTTTAAAACAACAGTATAAGCGGAATAAGTGGATTCGACTTCTCTTGATAATTATTTATAGTGATGAACAGTGATGAACAATAAATTAATGAATTAAATAAATAATTTTAAATTGAACATTGCAAATATATTCATTGAATTAACAATAACGAAAAAATAAATTTAAAAAAAAAATATTTCTTAGTAGTAGCCTCGTGCCAAAATCACTTATTTTTATGCCTTTTGTGACTCTTATCATTTTTTTTTCAATAGGTAACCCGGAATTTTTGGGGGAGCGTTGAATTAATCCTTCAATATTATACAATTTGAAAAAGAAAAGATTGACGTAATGAACGTAAAGATACTGTAAACTGCTGAAATGAAAAAATGAAATATGAGAAAAAATGTTTTTGCAACACAAAGTTGCAATTTTCACCCTTTGGCCAATTTAGCGAATTTCCTGCTAATGCCGTTCTTTTTTTATTTAGCTCGTATTCACTCCCTCACTCGGTCCCTTCCTTTCAATGAAAAAAAGGACGAACGCGTTCTTTGTGAAATTGAAATCTTGTCTGACAGAGAAGACTGCCGGCGCTTGCAGGCGCACATAAGTTGTACTCTCGACGATGTATTGCCTCGGCTCGTGCGCGGTCCGCCGTTGTACATATTATACGATTTTTCGCACACACAACCACGTGGAGAGGAGCAGACGGGTCCTGATCGATAAATTAAAGCGCCTCCCTTACTTCGTTTTTTGCTCACGAATGCATGTTATTGGCAAAAGTATCGAGCTCGCAATTTTCCAAACCTATATCATACTCGTGATACAAATAAGAAAAAAGCCCAAGTGTTGTGAAAAAAGTAAAGTGTTTGCAGCAATTTCTCGCATGACGGCGAAACCCAATTCTTGGGAGCAATTAATGAAGGCGACACTACTTATATTGGCGCTGTTTATTCCGCCGAGTGTGAGTACAGCACTCTTGCACCACAACCGGATCAAATTACGGGGGAGAAAAAAAGGGAGCAGGGAATTCGCATCCAACGGCTGATTTATATTTTCCTGACGGCTGCCTTCATTTCTTGCGTGGAAATATTGCAAAAAGTAGTTCCTCGGCTCACACCAGGGCTTAATTACAGCTCTTTTGCATGATTGCTTCTTGATAGACTATCAAGGGACAATGCAATTATGATCTCATTACTCACCTGAGACGAGTGTTCAAAATACACACACAGCACGTTTGCTGACAAGTGAAGTTTTGGCGCTTCCTTGATTTATGATTTATTATATTGTTTAAAGTGGCGTTTTTGCGCAAACAGGCGACTTGAAACGGAAGGAAAAAGTTTACTTTGCTTGTTGAAAACTTTTCAACTTGTGCTGGGACTCAACTTCATATATTTATATCAATTTAATGTAATTTGGATGCACTTTTATATCATTGTTCGAGAAAATAAGAAGCTTCTAAAATGTTTTTTTTCATTCGGATTATTTAGCTGATGTTTTTCATAAAGAGTGATAAAGAGTCAATGAACGGGTTTAAACTGCTTAATTATTATATCTGTGAATAATTTACTATTCATAAATTCCTTTAAAGAATAAGAAGAGGCATTTTTTCAATTAAATTAAATTCAATTTTATTGTTGTTCTGTTAGAAAAGAATATTAACAGTAGTCTTTAGATCATGTCAGGTCTAAAATTAAAATTTAGAAAAAAAAATCCGTTGCTTAGGGCAAAGACAGAAAACTATAAGATTAGCGCGAGAAATTTCACTTGTCTAAACTGCACAAATTCAAACATCTTGAAATTCTAAACAATTCTAAATAAGGAAAAAATACTATTTAAGAAAAAAAAATGTTAGCAACGCTAATAAAATAACACTTTCTTTTGCTTACATACTTAACTGTCCAAAATAATTTAGAATATCCGTGTACAAATGTTGGAAATATTTAGCGAAATTGACTTGTTGCTTCAAACATGTTTTTAAATTAGCATCTATGGAGTGCAAAAAAAACTCAAATTATTATTTTTTATTCGTTTTATTAATAAAAATAAACGCCATGATAAGTCTTATTGCTGGATAAATATTAATTGAATAATGGTATATCAAAAAGTTTTCCCAAAACTAATAACAATATCTTATTCTATAAGCAATAGGGAGTAAAAAAATCATCCCTAAAAGATCAACTTTATTCTCTTGTTATGATCATCTGCAATGCTTATATATTTATTACAGAAATATTTTTTATTACAAATTTATAAAAGTTTTAACCTTATTGCAGATAGCCATTATTTACTTTTTTTCTAATAACAAAAATTTAAATAATATTATATTATTATAATAGTTTAAATTGTTTTAACATTCTAAACTTTTATCCATTACCATATTAAAGACCAATATATTGACACATTTGTTAAAAATTAATTTATTAATTAGATAAATTTCACACAAAAAGGTTAATGAAAGTCAGTGCAATAAAATTGCTTTTTCCTCCAAGATTGTTCTGTTATTCTGAGACATAATTTGTTGTAAAATAAGACTTAATTAAATGTTCATTACATTATCTTGTAATATTATTCCAAATAAATATACTAATTATCTATTCCTTGTGCACTGTCACGGCTGATCTTGCAGTAGCGGAAATCTAATTACGGAGAGTCACAGACGCAGCAGGCGTTAGTTATTACCTAATGTAGCTTGGCACCCACAACAGAATCTCGATTGCTTACAATGAATGAGCGCGCGGTGCCTCTGCGATGGACAATGTGCGCACGCTGTGTGCCCAGTGCGATCCATGTGCCGCCGCCGCCGTTCGGATGACAATTCGATATCAAATCCCTTACATCCATCAATAATTAACCTGCATGTTCTCCAGCAGCAGCAGCGGCGGCGGCCCTGTTACCATGCTGGACTAACAGCCACGGGTATAGATATATTCAATGGTCGGTTGGTTTCCGCTGTTTGTACGCCCTTAGCTGAAAATTTTGTTTTGAGCAAACATGCTGTTGTCGCATGTGCTATGATAATTAAACACAAACACAAAGATTCGGTCGTTTAATTGCTTTGTGCGCGGATTTCGCTAGGAATTGTGTTGGATGGGCAAATTAGCTGATAATTGATACTTCACCTTTTATTAAAATAATTTTCATATTATTTGTTCTAACAATAAGCTGAAGAATTTAC